GAGTGAACGGTAACCACATCGCCCTACCTCGCTGGGGCTCGCCCGAGTCTTCGTCGGTGCGTGTCAACGCGATCACGATGAAACGCGCCGTAGCGGCGGGAGCTGACGTGTACGCGGTCGACATTCGGGAAGCCGAGGCAGCAGACAAGGGAGGGGATTTGCAGAAACTGCTGACCGACGTACCGAGTGACCTGGCAGCACTGTTGAAGCAGTACAGCGACATTTTCCCGGACGACTTACCGACGGGACTGCCACCTCAGCGACCGCACGATCACAGAATAGAATTGGAACCGGGGGCACAGCCAACAGTACAGCGACAGTTCCGACTGACCCAGCCCGAACTGGACGAACTGAGGAAGCAGCTCGATTACCTGCTCGAGAAGGAGTTCATTAGCCCTAGTTCGTCGCCTTCCGCAGCACCGATACTGTTTACACCGAAAAAAGACGGGGGATTTCGCATGTGCATCGATTACAGAGCACTGAACAGGGTTACCATCAAATCCCGTTACCCCATCCCACGAGCCGACGAACTGATCGACCAACTGCGCACAGCCCGGGTTTTCTCGAAAATCGACCTCCGGGGGGGTTACCATCAGATTCGTGTCAATCCGCCCGACTGCCCTAAAACCGCATTCCGAACACGCTACAGATCCTTCGAATACACCGTCATGCCCTTCGGACTGACCAACGCCCCCGCCACTTTCCAAATGACCATGAACGAAGCTTTCCGCCCACTCTTAGATAAGTGCGTCATAGTATACCTGGACGACATACTGATTTACAGCCCTGACAGAGCACAGCACTTACAGGACATCGAAGCAGTTTTTAAAATACAGAGTGAGAACCGCCTACTGACAAAAGCGTCTAAGTGTGAATTTTTACAGGACCGTCTGGAGTTTTTGGGACACGTTATTTCAGCCGCAGGAGTGGAAATAGACCCGAAGAAAATTGCGACGATTCAGGCGTGGCACGCGCCGACCAACTTGACAGAGTTGCAGAGTTTTTTGGGGTTCGTCAACTACGTGCGCCGGTTCGTCCCCGACATGGCGAAGCTGACTGCCCCGTTGACTGACCTGCTGAGGAAGGGGGTTGAGTACACGTGGGGGGAGAAAGAGCAAGCTGCCTTCTCGGCCCTCAAAAACATTTTGTGCTCACCGCCCGTGCTTCACATCGCCGATCCACACAGTCCGTTCGAGCTCGTCACTGACGCAAGTGACATTGCTGTGGGAGCAGTACTGTTGCAGGATTTCGGGAACGGCCTCCAGCCAATCGCGTACGAGTCCCGCAAACTGCACCCGCCCGAACGCAACTACCCGATACACGACCGCGAAATGTTGGCGATCGTGCACTAGTTCAAGGTTTGGCGGTGTTACCTGACTGGCGCCGACGTGACAGTACGGACAGACCACCGATCACTACAGTACTTACGCGCCCAACCAAATCTCAATCCGCGACAAATTCGCTGGCTGGACTACCTCGAGTCCAACTTCCACTACACGGTTACGTACAAGAAAGGCGCATCCAACATCGCCGACGCACTCACCCGCCCTACCGCCCAACTCCACGCCATCCTACTCGCCCAGACCAACCCGCTGTTAACAGGCCTATTCACCCACGGATACCGCACCGACCCATTTTTCACGACTGGAAACTCACAACAACTGGCAGAAGCTAAATGAGTTTATTACGTAAAAACAGGCACCAACCGCATCTGGGTACCTGCGTACTCACTACTGAGGGAGCTGCTACTGCAGGAGGCACACGACGGAATTACCTCGGGACACTTTGGGGTAGAAAAAACGCGACAGCAACTGCAGCGGTATTATTACTGGCCGGAGCTGTTGACCGACGTACAGCAGCACGTGGGCTCGTGCCCCACGTGTCAGGTGATGAAGAGCTCGAGGAAGCGGAAGGCGGGTCAATTGCAGCCGATACCACCGCCCGAGCGCGCCTGGCAGCAGGTTACCATGGACTTCGTCACAGGGTTACCTTCGAACCCTGGGGGTAACGACGCGGTGATGGTCGTCGTTGACAGGCTGACGAAGATGGCACACTTCGCTGCGTGCAAAAAGTCGATCTCAGCCGAGGAGACCGCTCGTCTGTTCATCGCAGCCGTTGTTCGCCTGCACGGGATACCAGCAGCGATTATCAGCGACAGGGACACGAAGTTTACCAGCAACTTCTGGAAAAACCTCTGGGAGCAGTTCGGGACCAGGCTACAGTTCAGTTCGTCGTACCACCCCGAGACCGACGGCCAAACGGAGCGGACGAATCAGACGATGGAGCAGTTGATTCGTGCCACGTGCGACGACCCCACGACTTGGGAACAGCAGCTGCCGCTGATCGAGTTCGCGTACAACAACGCCACGTCAGCGACGACGCAGCAGTCCCCCTTCTACCTGAACTACGGGCAAAATCCTACAGTGCCCATGACGCCGAGTCCGGACAATCCGACACCACGTGCACAACAATTCGCCGAAATTCTGCAAGCTGCCCGCACCAGAGCTGCAGAAGCAATTAAAAAAGCAAATGTCATCGCTAAGCGCAACGCCGACCGCCACCGCCGACCCGTCACCTACCAGTCAGGGGATTACGTACTGCTCGACACGCAAAACCTGCGACTGCCCGACGTACCAAAACTGCGACCGCACTACTGTGGCCCATTCCAAATCAGCCACATGATCACGCCAGTAACCGCGCACCTACTGTTACCGACCGACTGGTACATCAGCCCTTCGTTCCACGTCAGCTTGCTTCGCCCATACATCCCAACCACAAGCCAATTGCCTCGCCACCGCCCGCCATCCATGACTCGCCCTGCATCAGAGCCGATCATCGAGCCCGAAAAAATCCTGAGCCATCGGATTCGACACCCCACGGGAATCAGGAGGATTGAATTCCTCGTTCGCTGGAAGGACCGCACGCCAACTGAGGATAGCTGGGTGCCCCTGGCCAACATTGAAAACCACCCTGCCCTGCAAGTGTACCTGAGGAGCCGGGGATTCCGCGACATACACGCACTCGCGTAGCGGAGGGGGCTTCTTGAGGGGGGGGGGGGGGGTAGTGTAAGGAATTTTCTCGGCATTCCTTACGGAGCCCGACTACATCGCGTACAGCAACAGCCGTTGTTCGCCCGTTACTGCTAACGGAACTTCGCCGACTTCGCGCGCACTGTTTCACCAAACCTCGCACTGCTGGCATGGCCGTGTCGGCCTACGCTTCGGGACTAGCCCGAGCCTCGCTGCCAGCATAGCACTGGCTAGCTCGCACGCACCGCGTTACCGTTTGCATGCTTCGCATATAAATGTTCGCTCATGCCTTCGCTCACATCTTGGTACTCGTTTGACACCTTAGTGCAATTCTCGCTACTTCGATTCATTGCACCCGTAACACATTGCAACAGCACACCCTTTTTTTATGCAGCTTTCACATCTACGAATGGTTTTCGGTGGGTGTACAGCTGGTTACAGATGCTGGGTGCTCATTTCACCTGTTTGTTTTGGCCTTGTAACGAGTACACGCTCTTGCCTTGCCTTGCCAAGCATCGACTCTCTGGTCCGGCGGGGGTGGGCAGGACCAGCTAGGCAAGAAGAGTCAGCGCTAGAATTCGTTTGTGCTGGGCCTTCATCACATTTATCCGATTTGTATTCTCGCCGTCTGACGCGCGGATGTTCAGCAGGTGACAGGAGTAGACCGATTAATATTAGACCAATTCACGTTCCGATGCGGGTTTCCGGAATTCAGCGCGAGATCTTCTCTCTCTACCGCCGCCTGTTACGCGTAGCCAGATCGAAACCACCCGCGGAATCCGCGGCTTTGCGGGAGTACCTGACGTCAGAATTCAGAAAAACTGCGAATTCGGTCGGACGGGCGGAGATCGGACGTATTGAGTACCTTCTCAGACGGGGGGAGAAGCAGGTGGATCTGTTAACGAATCCGTCTACAACGGGGATCTCACTGCCACAGCTGCACACCCCCGCCGCTCCGACGACTCCTGACTCAGATCAGTCGTTTAATTCCCGCTAATATCTTCTCGCGCTCAGATTAGACGATCCAAACCAATCAGATGCTCTCATGCTTATCAAGAAGTGACGCAACTGTTGGGTGAATGGCTAAAGCCGAGGCAGCGGCAGCAGCAGAAGCAGCAGCAGCAGCATGATTTTAAGAAAACAGAACCGTGATTTGTGCGAATTCGTGCCTGCTTGTGCTCTAGTTAGTGCAGCTGGGTCTTTCAAGGTCGTGCTCTGTACCGGTATGCTCTAAGATGCCTCTGGAGGGTGGTATATGACTGGACGAGCAGTCACTACTCACTCTCCTGCTTCTTGTGGTAAATTAGTGGTGTAATAAAATGTTTACTTATTACTGGTACTTGCATCCACAGCAGATGCTGCCCTTGTGCGAAGAAATATTGCAGCATTACTTTCATTTCCACAAGAAACTGCCATCCCGCAACAACCTAGCCAGGTCTGTATTGATAGGAAGAAAGAAATCCTGTAACACTTCTCTAGTCTTAGGGTGCATCTCCTGCCCCTGCCCTTGCTCTTGCACCCGAGCACCCACAACTTCCTGGCTCGTAACATCTTTCCATGCGTCATCTGGGATTTTATCGATTTCTTCTGAGGGAACTTGGAGAAACCTCATGGCTTGAATGAGGTGTAGCTTCGGGTTTGATATATAGTCCTCAAAATTTATAAAGAGGAAGTTCTTTCGGGGGTAGACTTCCAGCCAGTCCTGCCAAAGGCCAAAGGGACACCAAAGAGTGAGCAAGTGCATCAAACAGAGAAAGTGGCTCTCAAGGCACATGGCAGTTGATTTTGCAGTAGGGAGGCTTAAGGACGAATGCAGGTGTAATTTCAGGATCATAAGTAGGTGTGTGTGCTGCCGTAGAAATAAGGGAGACGAGGGAGTGATGACAGAGGAAATAAAGCAAGAATATTTGCTGCAGCACATATGCGGAAGGTAATGAGGCAGGCAGAGAGCGGTGGGAATAAAGAGGTGCGTCAACTTACCGATAGGAAATAGGCATACATGCTGCGGCACACATGCGGAAAGGAGTGGAAGAGCAGGCGGGAGCAGTAGACAGGGGAATGGTCCACCATACACCCTTTAATTGCGGGTAACACCGCATCTACGTGTCTCGCAAAAGCGTCAGCTGCACTGCTGCTGTTGTCGTTGCTGTTGAAAGCGATGTGAGAGTCATCATGTTGCTTCGCCGACAGGAAGGAAGAGAACCACCTGTAAGGGATTGACAAAGACAAAGGGGGGGGGGGGGGGGGGGGGGGGGAGGGGGGAGGGGGAATTAAAAAGAAAGGTTTTATTTTGCTGCTGCTGTCGTTGCTGTCAAAGGTGATGTGAGAATCGTCTTGCTGCTTAGCAGACAGGAAGGAAGAGAACCAGCTGTAAGGGATTGCACACAAAGAGGGGGGTGGAGAAGATTTTGAAGTAGATTCGGAGGCTTCTGCTGCACTGCTGCTGCTGCTGTCATTGCTGTTGAAAGCGATGTGAGAGTCGTCATGTTGCTTCGCAGACAGGAAGGAAGAGAACCACCTGGTAGGGATTGCACAAAAAGGGGGCGGGGGAGGGAGAGAAAGGGAGAAAGTTTTTAGTAAGCTAAAAATCATCCGCTGCACTGCTGCTGCTCCTGGGGCTAGGAGTGATTTCCCAACCCCTGGGGCGCGGTTCTCTTCGGGGCTACCTTGGCCAGGCTTGTCCTGGTCCGGGGTTACGACGGAGTCGTACAGGCCAAAAAAAAAAAAAAAAAAAAAACTGCTGCTGCAGTCGCTGCTGTCGAATGTGATGTGAGAGTCGTCCTGCTGCTTAGCCGACAGGAAAGACGAGAACCAGCTGGTAGGAATTGCGCAAGGAAAAGGAGAGAGAAAGAGGGAAAGCAATAATAAAAAGTATATGAAGTTTCTGTTTTTTTATGTCCCACCATCTTACACTGCCAGGGTGCTTGTTTCGATTACCCAGGAAACGTGCGTTCCAGGAGGAGAGAGGTGCAAGGGGTCATGTCATTGCTAGCGGAACTATGCATGCTCGTTAGTGTATGCGTGTGTGTGTGTGTGTGTGTGTGTGTGTGTGTGTGTGTGTGTGTGCCCATGTGTGTGTGTGTGTGCGTGCGGCATGCGTGCCCGTGTGTGTGTGTGTGTGTGCGTGCGGCATGCGTGCATGTGTGTGTGTGTGTGTGTGTGCGTGCGTGCATGTGTGTGTGTGTGTGAGGGTGTGTGTGTGTGTGAGTGTGTTGTTTCCTTTTATTTTCCTATATAATTTATTTCGAGGGAATGGACTGACCAGTGGATGGGGTTGCGGAGGAGCACGGCGAAACGTGCACGAGGCAGCAGCGAGAATATTAGCTCTGGGAGCAGGAGGCTGCGTGCGTGAGGCCCTCGAGCCAGAATGCCCGAGTGGGTAAGCAGCGAGGAGGGAAGGCGTGGCATTCCCCTCTCTACCTCCCCCCTTCGACTACCTCCGCAACCCCATCCACCGGTCAGTACCATAAGAAACGTGGACTGACCGGTGGATGGGGTTGCGGAGGAGCACGATGAAGCGGGCATGGGGGAGCAGTGAGAAGACCAGCTCTGGCAGCAGGAAGCTGTGGGCATGTGGCCCTCGAGCCAAGATGCCCGAGTGGGTGAGCAGCGAGGAGGAGGGGAGGGATGGCACAACATTCCCCTTCCTTCCCCCTTCACTGCCTGACCTGGTACCAAGTGAAATGTGGACTCACCGGTGGATGGGGTTGCGGAGGAGCACGATGAAGCGCGCATGGGGGAGCAGTGAGAAGACCAGCTCTGGCAGCAGGAAGCTGCGCGCATGTGGCCCTCGAGCCAAGATGCCCGAGTGGGTGAGCAGCGAGGGGGTCGCCTCCCCTGCGATGGCGGCTGGATGCGTGGCTATGTGCGCTGCTGCTTGGCTGAATTTCTCAGTGTACCAATCGAAGGGATCATACTCCCTCATGTCCCACCTGGTTGGATCAGACACACACACACACACACACACACACACACACACACACACACACACACACACACACACACACACACACACACACACACATGGGGCAGGGAAGAGAGAAGGGAGGAGCAAAAGGAGGCACGTGGTAGTGAAAAGAGGGCCAAGATGCCCGAGTGGGTGGGCAGCGAGGGGGTGACCTCCCCTGCGATTGCGGCTGGGTGCGTGGCTATGTGACCTCCCCTGCTGGTTGGAATTTGCCCGTGTACCAGTCTAGGGGGTCGTACTCCCTCATGTCCCACCTGGTGAGGGCATAGCACACGCACACATGGGAAGTGAAAAGAGAATCAACGGTGCGGGAGTCACCTCTCTTGTGTACCAGTCTAAGGGGTCATACTCCCTCATATCCCACCTGGTGAGGACACGCACACATGTATGAAGAATTGAAGAGTGAACAAGATGCCTGAGTGGGCCATGGTCAGCCGATGGAAGTAGGAGGGTAGCTCATAGCAGAAATGTGCTGCGCAAGCAGAGAGGCAGAAATGGAAGACTGACCGTTCAAGGTTGCTTTTGAGTCGACTCAAAGTCACCTCGCGAGCAGAGAAATAGAAATGGAAGAGTGACCGTTCAAGGTTCGCCACAGAGTAAGGTAGCATGGCAGGGTGATGGGACATGGTCAACCAATGGAAGTAGGTGAATGGGGGCTGTCAAGAGAGGACAGGTGGGCTGCAAAGGCCTTACTTCCATCAATCTCGTGTTGTACTAGACCACAGAGTAAGGCAGCATGGCAGGGTGATGGGACATGGTCAACCAATGGAAGTAGGTGAATGGATGGAGCATGGCAGAAAGGAATTGAGGAAGCAAGGCGTAGCGGGATAAAGGGAGCACGGTATAAAGGGAAGACTGACCATTCAAGATTGGTCATAGAAGCAGGCAGCACAGCAGTCTGATGCACCATGGTCAAGCGATGAAAGAAGTCCTGAGCGCCACTCCTGGTTGCATGGAAAGAGGGGATGGGGGAAGAGGGGCGAGAGGTGTGTAAGGGAGGGGCTTGCAGGCAGCACAGCAGTCGGGTGCACCATGGTCAAGCGATGGAAAAAGTCCCGAGCGCCACTCCTGGTAGCATAAGAAGCACAAAATTAGGTGGGGTGAAGGGGCAGGATTGGCATGAATGGGGGGCAGAGGGTCGAGAGGTATGAAAGGGAGGCAGGCAGTGAAACCCGGACCCGTCCTTCCAGCAGGGGTTGCGGAATGAGGGATCGAATTCCGAAGGAGGCAGCTGGGCGAAGCACTCTCACAGAGGGTGTGCTGTAAGGCATGGTGACGTGGTGGGTGTTCCTACCTCATAGCCCCGATAACGAGGAAATAGGGCAGGCAGTGAAACCCGGACCCGTCCTTCCAGCAGGGGTTGCGAAAGGCCGGGTCGAACCCTGACTGCGGCAGCTGGGCGAACCACTCCCCTGCCACCTGCATGATCTCGCCCCTGTGGTGCTCGTTGTATATCACTGGAAACACCGCCCCTTTTCCTCCTTCTCCTGCTCCTCCTCCTCCTCCTCTCCCCCCCCAACCTGCCCCTGCTGCACCTTCTCCCCCTGCTCTTCCTGCTCCGCCTCCTCCTCCTGTCTTGTCTTCCCCACTATGTACCCGCTCCCACTCTTCCTTAACCACTTGTTCCATCTCAACCACTTCCAACTCCTTGCCGCGCTCCGCCCGCCCGAAAATAAGCCCGTGGTGCGACCCTGCTGCTACAGTGTCCACGTGCAGACAAGCCAGGCCGCCCACGAGGCCGGGAAGCGGGTCGGCGGAGTTTGGCGTTGGGCGGCCAAGCTGATGGTAGTTGTTGTGACCCCACGAAAAGACCTGTCCAGTGCTGGTCCGGGCGAGCACAAACGACGCACCCCCCACCACCTGCACCACCCCACCCAACCGCAATCCCCCGTCCCCCCCCTCCTCCTCTCCCATCACCTCACTCGGCTCTTCCGCTGCTCCCCCTGTTCGCCCCAGTAACACAGATCCTGCTGCTGCTGCCGCTCCTCCTCCTGCTGCTGCTGCTGCTAGTCCTCGTTTCCCCCCACCATAGCCCCACGACAGAAGCTGCTGCGAGGATGCCATGACAGCAAAAGATGCGCCTGCTGCTGCTCCGATGGTTGATGCACGCTCGGAAGACAAGGGACCGGAGGTGATGCGGTGGGGGAGGGCGAAGCGGGAGTGGGAGGAGTGGGCTAGAAGAGGCGCGTGGATGGCCGGATTGACTCGAATGCCACTTGCATTGAAACCGGTGCTGGTAGGGGGGAGGAAATGGGGTGGAAAGGGGAAGAGAAGGCGTATAAGAAAGTACATTCATTATTGCAAGGGACGCACCTGCCTGCTGCTGCTCCAATGGTTGATGCATGCTCGGAAAACAAGGGACCGGCGGTGATGCGGTGGGGGAGGGAGAAGCGGGTGTGGGAGGAGGAGGAGGAGGGAGAGGGGACGGGGTGGGCTAGAAGAGGCGCGTGGAGGGCCTTATTGACTCGAACGCCACTTGCGTTGAAACCAGTGCTGCAGAGGGGAGGGAAGGAGGTGGGAATGAAGAAAGGGGAAGTAAGGAAAGGAGATGGGGTGGGCTAGAAGGGGGGCGTGGAGGGCAGGATTGACTCGAACGCCACTGGCGTTGAAACCGGTGCTGCAAGCAGGAGAAGAGAGGGTGGACGGAAGGAAACGGGGCAGGAGCACAAAAAGAGTTTTGAGCTTAGACAAGGCAAAGGACGCGCTTGCTGCCCCTCCGATGGTTGATGCACGCTCGGAAGACAAGGGACTGGCGGTAATGCGGTGGGGGAGGGAGAAGCGGGTGTGGGAGGAGGAAGAGGAGGAGGAAGAGGGAGGGGGGATGGGGTGGGCTAGAAGGGGGGCGTGGAGGGCCGGATTGACTCGAACGCCACTGGCATTGAAACCGGTGTTGCAGAGGGGTGTAGAGCGGGTGGTGGAAGTAAGCAGGCAGGCAGAGAGTACTTTTGAGTCGAGCGAGACGATGGAAAGTCAGCGGCACCTACTCACCTGAGGGCACCTACTCACCTGAGGGCACCTACTCACCTGAGGGCACCTACTCACCTGAGGGCACCTACTCACCTGAGGGCACCTACTCACCTGAGGGCACCTACTCACCTGAGGGCACCTACTCACCTGAGGGCACCTACTCACCTGAGGGCACCTACTCACCTGAGGGCACCTACTCACCTGAGGGCACCTACTCACCTGAGGGCACCTACTCACCTGAGGGCACCTACTCACCTGAGGGCACCTACTCACCTGAGGGCACCTACTCACCTGAGGGCACCTACTCACCTGAGGGCACCTACTCACCTGAGGGCACCTACTCACCTGAGGGCACCTACTCACCTGAGGGCACCTACTCACCTGAGGGCACCTACTCACCTGAGGGCACCTACTCACCTGAGGGCACCTACTCACCTGAGGGCACCTACTCACCTGAGGGCACCTACTCACCTGAGGGCACCTACTCACCTGAGGGCACCTACTCACCTGAGGGCACCTACTCACCTGAGGGCACCTACTCACCTGAGGGCACCTACTCACCTGAGGGCACCTACTCACCTGAGGGCACCTACTCACCTGAGGGCACCTACTCACCTGAGGGCACCTACTCACCTGAGGGCACCTACTCACCTGAGGGCACCTACTCACCTGAGGGCACCTACTCACCTACTCTCCCTCTCCCTCTCCCTCTCCCTCTCCCTCTCCATCATCCTTCCCACCTCTCCCTCTGTCTGCTTCTCAACACGCCATACTCGAGCTTTGAGATGTGCGTGCTTCGACCCTCGTCTCCTCTCGTCTCCTCTCCCTCACCTGCACGCGTACACGTGGCCTTTATCAGTGAGCGCTAGCCAGTGCTCCTCCCCTGCTGCTATCTTCTTACTTGCATCGCCTGCCCTCCTCCCTCTTACCCTCTAAAATGTGCCTCACCTGCATGCATACACGTGGCCTTTATCAGTGAGCGCCAGCCAGTGCTCCTCCCCTGCTGCTACCTCCACCACCCTCTCCCCCTCCAACGCCCCTCCCACCCTCCCCCCTGTCTGCTTCTCAAAACCCCGTGTTCTCCCACCCATGTTCTCTCACCTGCATGCGTACACGTGGCCTTTATCTGTGAGGGCAAGCCAGTGCTCCTCCCCTGCTGCTATCTCCACCACTCTCTCCCCCTCCAACGCCCCTCCCACCCTCCTTGGTTCTGCTGCCAGTGCCAGTGCTGCTGCTAGTTCCTTCTCTAATCCACCGCTGGTGCTGGTGCTGCTGCCGGCGCTGCCAGCGGCAACAGCAGCAGCAGCAGCAGCAGCAGCAGAAGAAGCAGCAGTAGGAGTATGGCAGAGGTCATGGTGGTGGGTCCAGGGAGCAGGGAGCGAGAAGAGGTTGAGGCCCCAGGTGAAGACTTGCCCCCCGGCAGAGAGCGCGAGGGAGTAGTGCGGCCCTGCTGCTGCTGCAACCACCACCACGTTTTCCAATGCTCCCCTCACTGGTGCCGCCTCATGCCTGTCGCCCTGGGACGGGAACAGGGGAGGGAGCAGCAGAAACAGCATTGGCAGAAGAAGCAGCAGCAGGCGTATGGCAAAGGTCATGGTGGTGGGTCCAGGGAGCAGGGAGCGAGAAGAGGTTGAGGCCCCAGGTGAAGACTTGCCCCCCGGCAGAGAGCGCGAGGGAGTAGTGCGGCCCTGCTGCTGCTGCAACCACCACCACGTTTTCCAATGCTCCCCTCACTGGTGCCGCCTCATGCCTGTCGCCCTGGGACGGGAACAGGGGAGGGAGCAGCAGAAACAGCATTGGCAGAAGAAGCAGCAGCAGGCGTATGGCAAAGGTCATGGTGGTGGGTCCAGGGAGCAGGGAGCGAGAAGAGGTTGAGGCCCCAGGTGAAGACTTGCCCCCCGGCAGAGAGCGCGAGGGAGTAGTGCGGCCCTGCTGCTGCTGCAACCACCACCACGTTTTCCAATGCTCCCCTCACTGGTGCCGCCTCATGCCTGTCGCCCTGGGACGGGAACAGGGGAGGGAGCAGCAGAAACAGCATTGGCAGAAGAAGCAGCAGCAGGCGTATGGCAAAGGTCATGGTGGTGGGTCCAGGGAGCAGGGAGCGAGAAGAGGTTGAGGCCCCAGGTGAAGACTTGCCCCCCGGCAGAGAGCGCGAGGGAGTAGTGCGGCCCTGCTGCTGCTGCAACCACCACCAAGTTTTCCAATGCTCCCCTCACTGGTGCCGCCTCATGCCTGTCGCCCTGGGACGGGAACAGGGGAGGGAGCAGCAGAAACAGCATTGGCAGAAGAAGCAGCAGCAGGCGTATGGCAAAGGTCATGGTGGTGGGTCCAGGGAGCAGGGAGCGAGAAGAGGTTGAGGCCCCAGGTGAAGACTTGCCCCCCGGCAGAGAGCGCGAGGGAGTAGTGCGGCCCTGCTGCTGCCGCCACCACCACATTTTCGAGTGCCCCCCCGCACTGGCGCCGGCTTGTGCCTGTCGCCCTGGGAGGTGGAGGAGGGAGAGGGAGGGGAAGAGATAAGAGGTTGAAGCTCCGGGGTATAGAGCTGACCACTGGAAGAGAGGGCAAGAGGGCGAGGGAGTAGTGCGGCCCTGCTGCTGCCGCCACCACCACCACGTTTTCCAGTGGCCCCCTCACTGGCGCCGCCTTGTGCCTGTCGCCCTGGAAGGTAGGAGGAGGGAAAAAGGAGAGGGAAGACATTAGGACCCCCAGGTGAAAGGGTATGATCCCTGGAAGAGGGGGCAAAAGGGCGAGATAGGGCAGCCCTCAACCTATTTCGCATAACTTTTACCATGCTCCTTGACTGCCAGCCCAGCTGTCCCCGCCCATCGCACCCCCATGTGTACACCACGGCCAGGGCAGATCTGAGTAAACTCAAACGTCAACCTACACTCCCTCACACCATTCAAAACCGCTTACCATGCTCCTCGTCTGTCTCCCCAGCTGGCCCCTCCCATTACACCCCCACGTGTACACCACCCCCTCTTCAGTCACTGCCACCGAATGAAACTTCCCAGCAGCGACCGCCCTCACTCTCCCCGCCACTCCCGCCACCCTCCCAGGCCTCCCAAACGGCCCCTTCCGCCCCAGCTGCCCCGCTTTCCGCCGCCTACTGTCCCAGTTTCGGCCGAATGAGTAGAGTGCTCCGTCTACTGTCACTGCTAGCGTGTGCCCCGATGCTGCCACGGCTTTCACCCCCTTGCGCCCCAGAACCCCCCCTGCTCTGTGTGCGCCTGGGGGAAACGGATCAGCAGCACCCTTCTCTGCTTCCACTGCTCCCATCTTCTCTCCCATAGCAGCAGCGTCTGCTGCTCGCCTGCCTGCCTCCACCACAGGCCAAGCGGCCCTGTCCTCCTCTCCCCACCCCATGCGGTAGCTCAGGTCCCCCCCTGCCCACCCAAACAGGTAACCTGCCTTTTGAGCCGCCACAGCGCCAGTACCACTTCCTCCTTTCCCTCCCGGGGATCCGGCATAGCGCCATGCTGGCTGAGAGAAGGCTGCTGCTTCGTCTCCTGCCATTGCTGCTGCTGCTGCTGCCTCTGCTGCAGCTGCGCTTGCTGCTGCTGCCTCTGCTGCTGCTGCGTTTGCTGCTGCCACCTCTGCCGCCGCCCGTTCTGCCGCTATAGCTGTCTCAGCTGCTGCTGCTGACTGTGTCTCTGCTGCTGCAGCTGTTACAGCATCGGCCTCTCCTGCTACAGCCGCCTGTGCTGCTGCTCCGACCATTACATCCGGATCTGCTCCAGCTTCTGCCTGAGACGGCGTGAAAGGAACGGTTGATGCGATTGCTGCACGTGGGGGATAAGAATGGGAAAGTGGAAACAAGTTTGGGACGTCTCAGAACCTGTTGAATGTCTCAGCAATTTGAGACATCTCAAAGCTTCTGCCTGGGACGGTGTGAAAGGAACAATCGATGATGTGCCTGCTGCAACAGGGTGAGAAACAATGGTAAAGTGAAAGCAACAGAACCTTTGATTGAGATTGGATTTGCCTTGAAACGCCACAGACCACCAATCACCCGCTCCAATCTGGCATCTTACCGCTGCTTAGATTGCCCTTTGGCAGCAGAAGAACCACCTAGGCCAGCAGAAGCAAGGCGAGCAAGCCCACCAGCACGTCACTGACCACCCCCGCTCCATTCTGGCATCTTACCGCTGCTGCTTTTGGGAAGCAGAAGAGTCACGGAGGCCACCAGAAGCAAGGCTATCAAGCCCACCAGCACGTCACCAATCACCCGCTCCATTCTGGCATCTTACCGCTGCTGCTTTTGGGAAGCAGAAGAGTCACGGAGGCCACCAGAAGCAAGGCTAGCAAGCCCAACAGCAGACCACCAATCACCCGCTCCAGCCAACCCGGAGAGCTCTCAGACCCGCGATTGCTGCTAGAAGCTGAGAACAACCAGCCGCGAACAGGTGAAAACCGTGTTGTACCCTTCAAATTCGGCCATCCGGTTGTAGATACCCCCGTCGTGTCCCTGCTGCTGCCACTACTGACACCACTGCCGCTTGTGGTTGCTCCTGCCGTGGCTCGATCACGGTTCCATGACAAAAAGGAAGGTAAAAAGCTGCCAATGCCACTAAGACCACTGCCGCTGCCGCCGCCAGTGGTGACGAATGAAGAGGAGAGAGAGAGTTTCGCGGAGACGCCTGGTGCCTGGAAGGCCCCTCGACGCTGAATTGGCGGTGGCCGTCGCATGGCTGCTCGCTGCTGCTGGTGTGAACAGAAATGAGATGAAGCGTGGCTGAATATGGAATCTGTTGAATCAAGGCTTGAGGTGTCTACGCCGAATCGGCGGTGGCCGTCGCATGGTTGCTCGCTGCTGCTGGCGTGGATTATAGTAAAATTGGGTGAATATACGCTTTACTGAGCTCTGAGATGCCTCGGAATTCGCTCTGGTTGGGAATGAGATCGAGTGAGTTGGTCGAATTCGCGAAATGCGATTGGCAGGAAAAGAACTGGAGGGACTCTCATCACTCGTCCCGCAACCGTCCCACGTAAGATCCTTCGATCTCTCACGAGAAGCTAATCATGACCACGAGAAGCCGCTCCGATCAGATCGGACGGCTGAACCATGCAGATGCGCCACTAATCTTCGGCCGCTGAGAGCACTCGAGGCAGGGACGAGATGAAGCCAGAGCCAGAGCTCTAGTCATGATTTCTGCGAACTACTAAACGAGAACGCAACGCAAACGGTCCACAAAACACGGAAGAAGCCTTCGAACACATGCTGCTGGTGTAACATCGGCAGCATTTGCTTGAAATTCGCACAGGAACAAAATGACTGGGAGCTGATCAGCCCATTGGAACTACCACTCGTCGTCAGTTGGACTGGATCCTGGCGCTGCTGATCCGATATAGAAATAATGCGCTGTAGGCCATGCCGATAAAGATTTGTAAGGAGAGTTGTCTAGAACTAACATTTGGCCAGGCTTGCTGCAATTGAGACCTTTTAGGCAAGGTGATCATGTGAAATCAGAAGGAACAACAATGTGAGCAAGTACATGGATAAAAGGTGTCCCTGCAGCTTGTGTTAGTGCTTCAGTTTGTTAGAGAAACATCTTTCACACACCACAACTGACACCAATCTTGTTGTCTTGTGATATCCTCATTTTCCTTCCTAGTTTCACAATTGACCATCTTCGCTCATGCACCTGGCTATTTTCTAAGTCGACTCAGCTTTTTTTCACACTTGACCGTCTTCGCTAAAGCCACTTCTCGCAATCCTTTTTGCTTGTGGCATCTCAGCTTCAGTCCCCAAAGGAGAACGGGACCGTATCCTCCCACTAAACGCGTTCAAACTCAAATTGTCCGAACCTGGTGTGTCCTGCCGAACTTCCACTCCACCTGTGCAATCGTCCGAACCTGTACCTGACATGGACCGGGCTGCAGCCTCCGAATCGACCGCCCGAACCGCAGCTGCAGCCACAGAGGCCATTATATCCATTCGCCCGCCTCTTTTTGATCCTATGGACGAGGGGCTAGATTCCGACGATACCCCTGCCCCTCGGTCTTGAAAAGGGGAATTCGTCCTTGGGAAAAAGCTGAAGTGCTGCGACTGCTGCTGATACTGAAACTGCTTATGCCGCTGCTCCTCCTCCCCTTGATTCTCAAGCCCTTCCTGTTCCTGTTCCTGCTGCTGCAGCTGCAAAAGCTCTTGCTGTTGCTGTTGTATTTGCAACTGTTGCTGCTGCAATTGCAACTCCTGTTGCTGAAACAACTGCTGCTGCAACTGCTGCTGCATGTGCATCCCCCCCTGCTGCTGCAGCCTCATCATGGTTCGGGGCAGCATCATCACTTCTGCCAGTCCGGGAATGCCTTGGGGGTCTTGAAGACCCTGAAGACCCTGAATGCCTTGGGGGTCTTGAGGACCATCCTGACTCAGTTTAGACGAAGCGTTGAGTTGCAAGTCCTGTGCACTGTTCTGTGCATTATTTTCCACATTGTTTTGAGCTACATTTGGGGGAATGTTTTGAGGACTGTTTTCCACACCAAGGCAAAGAGATGGCTCCTGCTGCTGCTGCTGCCCCTGCCCCTGCCCCTGCTGCCACAGTCTCCGCCTTGGATCCTGCACCTGCTGCTGCTGTGGCACCTGAGAGGGTGCTGCCTTCTGTTGTTTTCTCCTGAGCGACTCCTGCAGCTGGTGAACAGCAGCGGCGGGATTGGGCGCAAACTGTACCTGCTGCTGCTGCTGCTGCTGCTGTTTCTGCCTCATGTACGCTTCTAGAAGGGCAGTCATGGCTTGGGATGAAGAGGTCAAATCTGAGGCACCGCTTGCATTGTCGCCCACACCCCTCGTGCTGCCTGCAGCAGCAGCAGCAGCAGCAGTATCATTGGCAGCAGCAGCACCACCAACAGCAGTGGCAGTAGCAGTAGCAGTAACAGTGGTAGCAGCAGCCGCAGCACCAGCAGCAGCACCATCACTTGCAGCACAGGAATTTTCAACAGCAGCAGTAACAGCAGAACCGGTTGCAGCAGCAGAAGCAGCAGAAGTACCAGCAGCAGCAGCAGTCGCAGCCATTCGCGATTTCCTCTGCAGAGCAGCAGTTAGGGAGCTTGAGAGGCGGGGGGGAGGAGCAGAGGCGGAGGAGGCAGAGGAGGAGGAGGAGAGGAGGGAGGGGATGAGGGAAGGGTCTGAAGCAGAAAGAAGCCTTAAGGCTTGGCGTTGCACTTTAGCAATCAGGTCAACTGAGTTGGCTGCTGCAGGGATGGCTGTAGTGGCTGCACTGGCTGTAGCGGCTGCACCTGCTGTAGCGGCTGTAGCAGTTGAAGAGGCAATTGCAGTTTGCATCTGCTGTAGCAGCTGCTGTTCTATTAACTGCTGCTGCTGCTGCTGTTGTTGTTGCCGCTGTTGCTGTTGCAGCTGCTGTTGTTGTTGTTGCTGCTGCTGCTGCTGCTGAAGCAATAACAGGAGGAGTTGCTGCTGCTGATCCTGCTGCTGCTGCTGCTGTATACTACCTGCCCCTCCAGTGGCCTCCAGTCCAACAGCTCTAATATCACCTCCCCCAGTAGCAACCCCTCCAGTAGCAACCCCCCCAATTGAACCTCCCCCAGACATACCTGGCTGCACCCCTGCTGCTACCATCTGTTGTTGTTGCTGCTGCTGCTGCTGCTGCTGCTGCTGCTGCTGCTGCTGCGAGTGCTCCTGCTGCTGCTGAAGTTGACTCTGGAGCTGCGGCTGCAGTTGCTGTTGCCCTTGCCCTTGCTGTTGTTGCCCCTGCTGTTGCAGCTGTTGCTGTGGCTCCTGCTGACGCAATTGCTGCTGCTGCTGCTGCTGGCCACGCCCCACTCGTGCCCCGACAGATGTCGCGAGGCGATTGGCCAAGGCATGAGGGCCGAGGAGCGTGCGAAGCATTGAGTTGCGAATGAAGTTCTGAACCTGGTGGGGGGGGAGTGAGGTCAGGGAGCAGATTGAAGGGAGCGGGAGGGGGAGGAGAGTGAAGAAAGGCCAAGGCATGTGAGCCTAGGAGCGTGCGGATCATTGTATTGCGACTGAAGTTCTGAACTTGGCGAGGGGGATGCGCAAATGGGGAAGAAGTGGAGATGCGTGTGTTTGCACCTTCGTGCAAACTGGGTGGGCAAGTGATGAACCTTTGCCCAACCCAGTCGACTTGCATCCTTGTGCTGACATGGTTACCTTCAAAAAGAGATTCGCCCTTACCCAATGCCCCCCTTACCTGCTGCTGCCCCCCTTACCTGCTGCCCCCCTTACCTGCTGCCCTCCTTACCTGCTGCCCCCCTTACCTGCTGCCCTCCTTACCTGCTGCCCTCCTTACCTGCTGCCCTCCTTACCTGCTGCCCTCCTTACCTGCTGCCCTCCTTACCTGCTGCCCCCCTCACCTGCTGCCCCTCTGCTTCTCTCTCGAGCAGCCACTCCAGCTTCCTCTTTCCCCCATCCGGCTCATATGCTGCCTGCTCCAACTCCCTCTATATACTACCCCGTTCCCATTGTTGCTTACATCCCCTTTGTTAACCCTGAAGTGCTTTGCCCTTACCTGCTGCCCCTCTGCTTCTCTCTCGAGCAGCCATTCCAGCTTCCTCTTTCCCCCATCAGGCTCGTATGCTGCCTGCTCCAGCTCCCTCTGTGACCAGAGGAATCAGGGGGGGGAAAAGCAGGAGAGAGGGAGATAAAGGGGCAACACGAGGAGGATAAAACGCCATTCCGAATTCCTCTTCCCCCCATCCGGCTCGTATGCTGCCTGCTGCTCCCTTTGTGACCAGGGAGAGGAAGATTGGGAGAACAAGAGGAGACAGAAGGAGAAGTAGGGCAATGGCAGGGTCGGTGATTTGCCAGAAGCGGTGGTCCTGAGGCAGAGACACGGGCGTTTCCTCTAACACACATGCCCACACAGCCACCCACTCATTCAAATTACACACACTCACACCCAGCACACACCTCCAGCAGTCCCAGCGCGATAGCAGGGTTAATGATTTGCCAGAGGTGGTGGTCCTGAGGCAGAGACACGGGCTTTTCCTCTAGCACACATGCCCACACAGTCACCCACTCACTCTTACACCCACCCATACACCTACGCACCTCTAGCAACCCCAGGGCAATGGCAGAGTCGGTGATCTGCCAGAAGTGGTGGTCCTGCGGCGCGTGTTTTTTGAGAATTCTCAAAAAAGACACGGGCGTTTCCTCTGACACACATGCCCACACAGCCATCCACTCACTCATGTATCCACGCACACACCCGCACACCTCTAGCAGCCCGAGGGCTCTACCAGGATCAGTGATCTTCCAGAAGTGGTGGTCCTGTGGCAGACACTGGCGTTTCCTCTGCCACGCATGCACACAGTCACCCACTCACTCATATTCCCACTCACATACGCACCTCCAGCAGCCCCAGGGCGATAGCAGGGTCAGTTATTTGCCAGAAGTGGTGGTCCTGCGGCAGAGACACGGGCGTTTCCTCTGCCTCCATGGGTGGCAACTCCATGGGCTTCTCGAGACTGCGGAACTGGGAGGGGTCGAGGGTCAGATGGAGAGCGGTAGTTGGTTGGGAAACACAATATGGGTCTTGAGTCAACTCTCAAGGGCCCTCTGCTTCTCAGTATCTCTGCCTCCATGGGTGGCAGCTCCATGGGCTTCTCGAGGCTGCGGAACTGGAAAGGTTGGGGGGTCAGAATCAGACGGATGGAGGTTTGGAGGGAGGGGTGGACTAGACAGAGACGAGAAAGCCAAGGCCAAAGCCAAGGCAGCTTGTGGGTTGACTATCAAAGCGCCAGGGGAATCTGTCTGGCTTCTACAAATAAGAGGCATCAAAACACAATAACACTTGCATAAGTGTGAGCACGAGCCTCCTCCGCAGTGCAGCGCCTGGACGGATCAAACGCCAGCATGCGATAGCGCAGATCGGCAGCCTCGGGCTTTAAGTTTTACGAATTGGGTTTGGTGTGAGGAGAGAAAAGCGGCAGGGCACACTCATCTATGCACGACACTACACGTACATAAGTGTGAGCGAGTGCCTCCTCTGCAGTGCACCGCCTGGAGGGATCAAACGCCAGCATGCGATGGAGCAGATCCGCGGCCTCGGGATCGCCACATGGCGCCATTTGATTGGCCAGATTGCCCGCCCGCCCCGGCAGCCTCTTGAGGAACGCCCGCCAGGCATCGCTGGGAACGCTCTCAATGTCCTTCCAGCAGGGCGTGCCGATGACATCGAATATCACGTCGAGCTGGTCCGATAAGGGTGATTCATTGTCATCTACGTACTTCTCCCCTGTCTCCGGGGTGACTGGCTCGCCCCTGTGATGCAGGGGTTAGGAATTCACACACGAAAAGGGAACAAAACAGAACAGAGTGGAATTTCACAGCAAGGTCTCTTGAGGAACGCCCGCCCGCCAGGCATCGCTGGGAACGCTCTCAATGTCCTTCCAGCAGGGAGTGCCGATGACATCGAAGATCACGTCCAGTTGATCGGCTAGTGGCGACTCGTTGTCGTCTACATACATCTCCCCTGTCTCTGGTGTCACCGGCTCGCCCCTGTGATGAAGGGAGCAGATTGTTGTGGAGGGAGGGAAGTGTAAGGGACAAGAACATAAGAGGAGAGTGGTCGGCTAGGGGAGATTCATTGTCATCCACATACTTCTCCCTTGTCTCTGGGGTCACTGGCTCGCCCCTGTCGAGCAAACCAAAACAGAACAGGAAATAACAGAAAGGAATCAGTACAGAAAAGTCTCTTGGGGTACACCCGCCAGGCATCGCTGGGGACGCTCTCAATGTCCTTCCAGCAGGGCGTGCCGATGACATCGAATATCACGTCGAGCTGGTCGGCTAGTGGCGACTCATTGTCATCTACATTCTTCTCCCCTGTCTCCGGTGTCACTGGCTCGCCCCTGTGATTCAAGGGAGCAAATTGTTGTGGAAGGGAAGGAAGTGTAAGGAATTGTTGTGTAAGGAAGTGTAAGAGGAGAGTGGTCGGCTAGTGGTGACTCGTCATCCACGTACTTCTCCCGTGGGGAATCGGCTCATGTAGTGAGTGATTCACACCCAAGCATACTTGCATGCGAAGGTGGATGAAATGATGGAATCGAATGCATGATGTAAAAGATTGAAATGACAAAGAGATATCTTTCTGCCATTTCAATCTTTTACATCATGCATTCGATTTCATCATTTCATGCACCTTCGCATGCAAGTATGCTTCAGTGTGAATCACTCACCACATGAGCCATTCTCTGGTGTCACCGGCTTGCCCTTGTGTGTTCGTAGCATACTCGGAAGGAGTAAAAAGGAAAAGGAAGTGTCGATGTAGAGGGGCAACAGCGACATAGAAGGACCGATGACATAGCTTTTCGTGTCGAGGTGGTCAGCAAGAGGCCACTTGTTGTCCAACAGAGGTTCACCTGATGGCAACAGAGATCCACCTGACGGCCACACAGGACCATCTGTTGGCAACAGAGGCACACCTGATGGCAACAGAGTCTCACCTGATGCCAAACAGTGGTCTTGATGGGGGCCCTGGTCGATGGGGGCGCATGGCTCGCATTAGGAGCTCCTGAGGAAGGGAGGGGGAAGGAGGAGCAGGAGGAGGAGGGGGTGAAGGTGGAGGGAGGAAGGAGGAAGAAGGTCTTTTGTTTGTTCCGGGGGGAAGTGGGGGGAAGGGGGAAAAAGTGCTTCGACGAGCCTCTGTAGACGTCTGAAGGGATTCAGTGAGCCTCGAAGCCTATACAAGTGCATCCACATAGAATCTGCTCTTCTAGAAGAATAGTACTCCTCCAGTGCTCACTGGAGAAAGGAGTTCTGCAAGGAGTTCTAAAAAGAGCTCTCTTGGGCCGAAAAGCTTACCCAGAATATACAGCCGAGCGACCAGCTGAATCGGGATGAAGAGAGGAGAGGTCCGTGCACGCGCGAGCGAGCCAGGTGAGTGGCACCCCGGTGAATGCAGGGAGGGATGAACGGTACAGTGGCGCGGGGATAAGGGAGGGGAGGGAGAGGGGGAGAAGCAGGAGATTGATAAGTTATGAAGCGCCTTCAATCAAAATGTTGATTCACACAGGGAGAGATGAATTGTGAGTAGTAAGAGGAAAGGGAGAGAAGAAAGAGAAGGGGGAGAAGAGGAGAACGGAGGATGGGGAGAAAGGAAGAAAGAGGAGGAGGGGGGAGACAGGAAAGGGGACTCACATGTCGATGGCTGATGTGTACTGGCCTCGCGACATGACCACCTCAGGAGCGCAGTAGCTGGGGGTGACGACCATCTTGGTGAACTGCCTCTGCAGCTCCAGCTTGACTAGACTAAACTAGACTGTATACGGCGCATGATTCTAACACAACTCACATATCGATTGCCGATGTGTACTGGCCTCGCGACATGACCACCTCAGGGGCGCGGTAGCTGGGGGTGACGACCATCTTGGTGAACTGCCTCTGCAGCACGTGCTGCTTCCTCCCCGCCGCTGCCCCCTTCTCGTCCGGCGCACTCCGCGGCTGCATCGGCTGCCCTGACTGCACATGTGTGAGAGTGGGTGGGGAACAGACAGAGATACACTCATTCCATTCAGCATGAAGAGCCCTGTGGCTGGAAGTGACGACCATCCTGTCGCACGTGCTGCTTCCTCCCCGCCGCTGCCCCCTTCTCGTCCGGCGCACTGCGCGGCTGCATTGGCTGCCCTGACTGCAACGGGAGTGTGTTCGGAGGATGCACAGGGGGTAGGAGGAGGAGGGAGAGGAGGGGGTTAGGTTTCAGTCCGCCTCAGGAATAGACTCATCCAGCACGGCCCACTGCGCGGCTGCATCGGCTGCCCTGACTGAACCCGTTTCATGGGGGGTTGGAGCAAGGGAGGGGAGTAAAACGAGAGTGCGGGGAAGCGAGTGTGGGATAAGACAGAGTGGGGGGAGAGGGAGTGGAGGATAGAGGAGACGAAGTGGGGGGCTGACCAGTAGGAGTGGGGCAAGTGAGCGTTGAGGAGGCAAGGACAGGAAGAGAAGAGGAGGACGCACTCATCCCGAGGGCGGATCTAGAGAGGCCAAAGTCGCAGAGTTTGAGTGTGGTGTTGGCGTGGAGGAGGAGACACGATACATAAGAGGAAGGGGGCGTGTGAGAGCAGAAGGAGAGGGTCATGTGCCCGTGGGGATGCAGGGAGAAGAGGACGCACTCACCCCGAGGGCGGATCTAGAGAGGCCAAAGTCGCAGAGTTTGAGTGTGGTGTTGGCGTGGAGCAGCGTGTTCTCTGACTTGATATCTCTGAGGGGAGAGCGGAAGACGGGAAGCGGGGGAGTGAAGGACGGGCATTACAAGAGGCAGGAAGGGAGATAGAGTGGTGTTGGCGTGGAGCAGCGTGTTCTCAGACTTGATGTCTCTGAGGGGAGAGCGGAAGGCGGGAAGCGGGGGAGTGAAGGACGGGCATTAGGGCGTCAGACGTGAGAGCTGGGGTGGGAGTTGGGTTGGGGGGGAGTTGGGGATGGCTGACGGGTGACTAGCAGTAAATTTACTCCAGGGATCGCATTTCATTCACCCACCTGTGCCAGACGTGGCAGGAGTGCAGGTAGCGAGTTGCCACCAGCAGCTGCCATATCAGCCTCTACACGTCCTCTGGTGTTAGTGGCTGCTCTGCTTGAACCAATACCTTTGAGAGATCTACTCTGGGAGGCCTCACCCACTCAAACGCACCCACCCACCTGTGCCAGACATGGCAGGAGTGCAGATAGCGAGTTGCCACCAGCAGCTGCCATATCAGCCGCCTCACATCCTCTGGTGTTAGCGGCTGCTTAAACCGATAGAGATCGCCACTAGGAATTGGAAGGGATGGGAAGGGAAAAGGAGACAGGGGAGACTTTTGAGTTGACCAAAAGCCATATCAGCGCCTCACATCCTCTGGTGTTAGTGGCTGCTTGAACTGATACGGATCGCCACCAGGGGGAGGGGAGGCAGAGAGGAACGGCAGGGGAGAGGGAGGGGAAAAGGACGGGATTGACTTCTGAGTCGGTTCGAATGCCATAGGTCTAGGACTATGGCTTATCCTGACCTGAGGAACATATTTTATCCCTGGGTTGGAGAGGTATAGGCCAGTTTTTGAAGTGCCTCACGAACAGTCACCACAGCACAGGGCTCACCCTGAGAGGCATACTCTGCTCTGCAGCCATGATCCGGCTCTGAACCGTACAGCACCACTCTGCATCACTGGGACTACTTACCCTGAGGCATACTCTGTGGCTATGTAGGTCAAAGCCGCCCGGCACCTCAGTTGCCTTGCGAGTAAACACGTCCGCCACTGAGAGGGAGGTGGGCAGGCTAGGCTAGGCTGGGGTGGGCTTCCTCTGAGGGACGAGGCATACTGGCAGTGTGAAGTGAAGGGCTTACCCTGAGGCATACTGGCAGTGTGAAGTGAAGGGCTTACCCTGAGGCATACTGGCAGTGTGAAGTGAAGGGCTTACCCTGAGGCATACTGGCAGTGTGAAGTGAAGGGCTTACCCTGAGGAGGCATACTGGCAGTGTGAAGTGAAGGGCTTACCCTGAGGAGGCATACTGGCAGTGTGAAGTGAAGGGCTTACCCTGAGGCATACTCCGTGGCGATGTAGAGGTCGAATCCGCCCGGCACCTCAGTGGACTTGCGAGTGAACACGTCCGCCACTGGGAAAAGGGAGGAGGGAGAGGGGAGGTGAGGAGGGGGGTGAAGTGGAGGGGTCGTACATACACAGGAGGATAATGAAGGGGCCGAGGGAAAAAGGGCAGGCAGGAGGAAAGGAGGTGGGCTAATACACTTGGAGGCGTGTTGTTCTCCTCACATCTGCCTTGTTCTTACGTACATCGGATGACGTATGGGTGTGAGAGGCGGCGCATGATGCAGACCTCTCGAAGCACTCTCTTGGCCAGCATGGGGCAGCACAGCACATCCGCGATGCGCTGTTTGCACCACATCACATCACATCACATCACAGGCACGCACACGCACACACATGCACACACAAATACACGGAGAGGGAATTGGATTAACAGGAGGGAGGAATGCAACGATTCTAATGACTATGGAAAAACTATCTTGGCCAGCATGTGACAGCACAGCAATTCCGCTATAGTCACCTTGAGCGCAACAGTTTCGCCCGTCTCATTGTCAGTGGCCTTGCAGACATCTCCGTATGAGCCAGAGCCAATCAGACAGTGCACCGTGTAGCGAGTTCCCACTGTTGCAATGTGACGGGAGCAAGGATGGTAGAGGGGGAAGGAAGGGCAGGAGGAGGGAGGGATGAAATTCCGAGGTTATAAGAGAATGGTGCCAGTGACACGAAACTTCTGCTGCATGACTAGCTTGTTGCTGACGGTTTACGTTCCCGTGCTTGAGTCGCATCTTGCTGTGCTCGCGACCTATGCTCGCGTCGTACCGGACCGAAATTCCCGAAGAACTCTAAAAAATCGCCACGCACCTGGCCACGGTTTGTTCTTAACGGTGTAAATGCCCGTGCCCGCGTCGTACTGGACCGACTCTACGCCTCCGCCGGTCCCGCCGTTCGGCGCGGAGGCCATGCACGGATTTAGACTTTGCTAATGCTGATACTGCTGCAAATTTAGGTCAGTTAGCGATGACCCAGTCGGGTCATGCACACCCAGATTAGATAAGTTTAGATGATTAGTGATTTAAAAGCCGACTGACATGATGCGCCGGTGTTTTGAGAACTATCTGGTATCTAAAAAGGGTATTCTGACAATGAGAGATGGACTAGGAGAAGCTACTAGAGAGTGGTAATTTTGAAAAGCAGGCAACCTCGGGATCAGTTTGGAAAAGTTCAGTTTTATAGCCTTGGGATCAGTTCCTGCCCATCTAGAACCTCGATGGAAAAGAGTTGACCAATCGTTGTGTGCACGAAATCGTTTCGCGAACAAGTGGTGAGCGTTCGTGGTTCTTCACATCCACCACGCGAATCAACTTGATAGGCTGCAGGTCACTATTGGGGGCATCCTTCAGAGTTTTGGAGTTTCCCAGCACCGACACTAGTGGAACAGAAAATCCTGGGGTTACAGCTACGCGGAAGGGGTTCGCCAGCGTTCGTGCTCTCCGAAAATTTTCAGTGTAACAGCCGGACAATTCCGACGGACAAACCGGTGATGCGACGTCGCATCAACTTCTCGCACGGACAATCCGTCACAATTGCGCCGCATGCTCTCGCCCACATGCAGCGAACCTTGAGAATGCTGAAGGACATCTGACAATCTCCCTCTCCGCAGCCATTTTCCAGACCTGACAAATTGTTGGGTTGTAAAGAAACCGCTTTTCCACGCACAGCATCTCACCAAACCGCATTGAAGTCAGGCCATGACAACTCCCTGAAACCAATTTCAGCGCCATTCTTTTGTGCACTGCTTTCAGAGCCATTTTCTGTAATTCTGTACGATGTGCTTACTCTGATGTGCTTCTCCAGCCGAGAATATTCGTTTCCCGATTTCGCGCGCCCTTTTTTCATCAGTGGCTGAAATTAGTATTGTTCAAACACCTGACAATCTGCGACACGCAAAAATTTCTCCTGAAGTACACAGTCGGTTTTTTGTCCTCCCTGTTCTATCGTTCTTATCGCGGCATATTCAGTCTTACGAGGAACTAGCTGTGCGGTAACTCTCCGTACATGGTTAGTCGTCCTGCCGTTATGCACCATTCTTTAATTAGAGCCTTAGCGGCGCGCGTTCTGTAGTTCATGTATCACCACCTATCCCCTGCTTCTCGTCCCTCCTCGTCCTTTCACACGTCAAATCCAGCTGTCCGCATGTCGTCCCGCACCACCACATACCCGCTGCGTCTCATCCCTCCTCGTATATCTTGTACATATGTTCTTTTTGCATATCTTCACGCGTCTCCGCTTGTCATCCCGCACCACCACATATCTCCTGCTTCTCACCCCTCCATATCCAACACAGCTCTTTGAAGCAAACTCCAGCTAATAAAAATAATAATAAAAAAGGACTGAGACGCAGCAAGAGGAGATGGCGCAAGAAGCGATGCAGGAGGAGCAAGAGATGCAGCAGGGGCAGGGGGACGAGGCAGAGGCGGAGGGAGAGGCAGGAGCATCACCAGCACCAGCACCAGCACCACCAGCACCAGCACCAGCACCAGAAGATTTCCTGCAGCAGATGCAGAAGCAGCAGGAGAAGCCACCAGCCGTGTTGTCATTCCAAGACGTGACGATAGCTGCAGTCAAGGGAAGCGGGCTTGTGTCCCACCACATCGACTCCTTCAACCGCTTCCTGCGCCGCCTCCCTCGCATCGTGGCTGGCCACAGGCCGGTTCAGGTGAGTCTTGTTGAGTTGACTTATTTGTCAACGCAGTCACAGGAAGTGTGTCTGGTGTCCCATCACATCGACTCCCTCAACCGCTTCATGCGCCGAATCCCTCGCATCGTGGCCAGCCACAGACCTGTTCAGGTGAGACACTTTGTGGGTTGACTCACTAGCCAGCGCAGTCAAAGTGGTGTTGTCATTCCAAGGCGTGGCGATTGCTGCAGTCAGAGGGAGCGGGTTGGTTTCCCACCACCTGCACTCCTTCAATCGCTTCCTGCGACGTGTGTGGCCGGCCACGATGCGGGGGAGTCGGCGCAGGAAGCGATTGAAGGAAGGAGTGCAAGTGGTGGGACACCAGACCGCTCCCTTTGACACTGCCGTGTAGTGTTGTGACCACTGGGTCAACTCGTAGTTGGCAGTTCGCAGCGTTACATTGACTCCTGCCAACCCTGTTTCAACCCGTCTGCTAGTTCCGTCTGTCCCCTTTGTTCTCTTCTGTCCTGCTGCTTCAACTCCCCCTCTCCCCCTCTCCACCCTTCCCTGGAGATTTACATCCCTTTGAAGGTCAGCGACACGGTAACCCTCGCCAATTCGCGCCAATTCACATTAGTTTCTTCCGTCCCCTGCCTGTACTGCTGTTTGAACCTTCTCCGTTTGCAGATACACATCCCTTTGAAAGTCAGCGACACAGTCACCCCCGCCAACCCGCGCAACCACAATTTGGAAAGTGTGACGTCGCGGGTAGTGGGAGTGGGCGTCCGTATTTTCCTCCAAGGCCCAGTCTTCACCCGCCCCCTTGTTCATCCTTTCGGGACAGAGACTCTGGGTGATACTGCTGCTGCTGCTGCTGCTGCACCAGGGACGAGCTCGCTGGCTGGTAACGAAGCAGACTATAACGAGGATGTGGATGTGAAGATGGCGGAAGAGGAGGATGACGAGGATGGGGATAGGGTAGGGAAGACTGGGAGGAAGCGGAGGAAAGACTTGAAAAAGAGCGGAAGGAAAGGGAAGGAAAAGGAAACGGAGGAAGGAGTGGGGGGGTTGCATCCTGACAGAGGCTTTTCGAACGGAGCTTCGTTTGACAGTAATCCAGGGCCCAGGTTTTCACACCCGGAAGTGAAAGAATCTTCCTCACTATTTCCTAGCCAGGCGCGGCGTGAGCATCGGACGTACAGTGGGGATCTGAGAGGATCGCTGCGCATTCAGGTGAGGAGAAGATGGTGCAGTGCGGTTGGGGGCGCTGTCAGGAAGGTACAGAAGGTTGGGAGGAACGTGAGCATCGGACGTACAGTGGGGATCTGAGAGGATCGCTGCGCATTCAGGTGAGGAAGGGGGATGGAGAGAAGAGAAGCGTCTCATGGATGGGTACAGTGCGGTTGGGGGCGCTGTCGGGAAGGTGCAGTAGGTTGAGGGGAGGAGGTTGAGCCGGGCTCCTGTTTTGCTGTTTTCTAGCCGAGCATTGCGTGAGCATGGGGGGTAGAGTGGGGATTTTCGGAGATTTGTGCGCATCCAGGCGAAGAGGGTGGAGAAAGCGGTGCAATGCGGTTCAGGGCGCAGCCAGCCATGTGCAGTGCTGGGGGTTATTTGAATAGGAATGATTGTTCCTCTATGTCTTGGTCAGGCTCCGCTTTTGAGTCGACTCAAAAGTTGCCTCAAAAGTCATGATTGTTCCTCTATGTCTTTGTCAGGCTCCGCTTTTATTGGTGTTACTTTTGAGAATTCTCGAAAGTAACACCAATGCAGCCAGCCAGGTGCAGCGCTGGGGGATATTTGAATAGGAATGTTTTGTCCTCTATGTCTTTGTCAGGCTCCGCTTTTCCCTAGTCAGGCTTGGGTTTGTCAGGCTTGGGTTTGTCAGGCTTGGGTTTGTCAGGCTTGGGTTTGTCAAGCTTGGGTTTGTCAGGCTTGAGTTTGTCAGGCTTGGGTTTGTCAAGCTTGGGTTTGTCAGGCTTGGAATTTGACACACACCAGAGAGCTGGATCGTATCGTACCTTTTACTCACAGGGGTTTGATTGGAAGTGAGGTGGGCACGACCATTACTCTCTTGATAAGCTGACTTTGCCGTACAGGGGCCTCACAGGCAGCTTAAGAGGGGCCTCACAAGCAGTTTGTTTACTCATGCTTCCATATGCGCTCCCCGTCACAGGTGTTTGAAGTGGTGGAGAGCGGTCGGTACGAACGGCCCTCCCCAGAGGCGGTGCGACAGGCGGCTATCAGGCAGCAGAAGCAGCAGAGGAGAGAGCAGAGGAGGAAGCAGGCGGAGCAGAAAGGGTCACTCAAGACCGGCAAACGATTTGTTCGGTGGGAGGACGAGGAGGATGACGATGATTCTGCTGCTGCTGGCGCTGCTGGTATTGCAGGTGCTGATGCTGATGGTGCTGCTGGTGGTGGTGCTGGTGGTGCGGATGATGATGTTGACCTGGGGTATGAAGGCCTGCAATGGACCTGGAGGAAAGCAGGAGCGAAGGAGAAGGTTAAGGTGAAAAGGGAGGAGGAGGAGGGGGAGGGGGAGAAGGAGGAGGAGGGCGGTACAGAGGAGAGTGCGGAGGAGAGGGTGGTGAGGGAGTGGGTGGAGAGGGAGGTGCATCTGGGGGCGGTCCCTGTGATGCTGAGGTCTGATGCGTGCCACCTCAATGGCCTATCAGAGAAGGGCATGTGGCGCAAGGAGGAGTGTCCGAAGGACAGAGGGGGATACTTCATTGTGAAGGGCATGGAGAAGGTGAGAAAGGGAGGTGAGGTGAGGTGAGGTGAGGTGAGGTGAGGTGAGGTGAGGTGAGGTCAGATTTCTTATTCCACTCGGAGGAGTGTCCCAAGGACAGCGGGGGAAACTTCATTGTGAAGGGGATGGAGAAGGTGAGGAGGGAGAGGGATGGTGAAGGGAAGGTTGGCGCAGGATAGATAGAGGAGGTGAGAGTTTTTTGTGACTCAATAGGGGGAGGAGTGTCTCAAGGACCGGGGGGCATACTTCATTGTGAAGGGGATGGAGAAGGTGAGGAGCACCGCACCCAACACACAATCCTGGTCGAGCCTGCATCTTTCCCCTTTCCTCCTCATTCGATCACCTATACAACTCAGCAATAGGAGGAGTGTCCCAAGGACCGCGGAGGATACTTTTTGTTAAGGGGATGGAGAAGGTGAGAAGGCGAGAAGGTGAGGAGCACCGCACCCAACACACAATTCTGGTCGAGCCTGCATCTTTCCCATTTTGGCCTCATTCGATCTCCCATACAGCTCATGCTCATACCCTCACCCCTCTCTTCCCACCTTTTCACCCACAGGTGGTCATTCCCCAGCTCGTGCAAGCACCCAACACCATCCTTGTTGAGCCTGCACCTCCCCAATCTGCCCTCTTCCCGTCTGCCCTCTCTCTCTCTATCCCCTATCCATGCATGCACCCACACCACAGGTGGTCATTCCCCAGCTCGTGCGAGCACCCAACACCATCCTAGTCGAGCCGGCACCTCCCCTTTCATCCCTTTTCCCTGCCCTCTTCCCCTTTCCAACAGGTGGTCATTCCCCAGCTCGTGCGAGCACCCAACACCATCCTAGTCGAGTCGAGCCGGCACCTCCCCCTTCCGGCCTTGTCTCTCTATCATTCCTTCTCCCCACCTCTGCTCCCCCTGTACACCCACAGGTGGTCATTCCCCAGCTCGTGCGAGCACCCAACACCATCCTAGTCGAGCCGGCACCTCCCCTTTCATCCCTTTTCCCTGCCCTCTTCCCCTTTCCAACAGGTGGTCATTCCCCAGCTCGTGCGAGCACCCAACAACATCCTAGTCGAGTCGAGCCGGCACCTCCCCCTTCCGGCCTTTTCTCTCTATCATTCCTTCTCCCCACCTCTGCTCCCCCTGTACACCCACAGGTGGTCATTCCCCAGCTCGTGCGAGCACCCAACACCATCCTAGTCGAGTCGAGCCGGCACCTCCCCCTTCCGGCCTTGTCTCTCTATCATTCCTTCTCCCCACCTCTGCTCCCCCTGTACACCCACAGGTGGTCATTCCCCAGCTCGTGCAAGCACCCAACACCATCCTCGTTGAGCCTGCACCTCCCCAATCTGCCCTCTTCCCGTCTGCCCTCTCTCTCTCTATCCCCTATCCATGCATGCACCCACACCACAGGTGGTCATTCCCCAGCTCGTGCGAGCATCCAACACCATCCTAGTCGAGTATGCACCTCCCCTTTCATCCCTTTTCCCTGCCCTCTTCCCCTTTCCAACAGGTGGTCATTCCCCAGCTCGTGCGAGCACCCAACACCATCCTAGTCGAGTCGAGCCGGCACCTCCCCCTTCCGGCCTTGTCTCTCTATCATTCCTTCTCCCCACCTCTGCTCCCCCTGTACACCCACAGGTGGTCATTCCCCACCTCGTGCGAGCGCCCAACACCATCCTCGTCGAGCCTGCACCTCCCCTGTCCGCTTCTGCTGCTGCCAGAGCTGCCTCGATGGGCGGCGGGGCAGCAGAAGGGGCGGGAGCGTGGAGGGACGAGTGGGTGGCGTCCGTTGTCTCTACTGAGGACGATATGGGAGGGCTCAAGGCAGGGCCACGGGCAAAAACAAGGTATGTTTGTGAAGTAAAGGTTTTCAAGTTGTGTGTACGCGTATGTTTGAAAGCCCTGACAAGTAAAGGTCTGTTTGTGCATGTCTTTCCCCATCCACCAGCCTTCCCTTCTCCCATCTTGCGCTGGAAAGCATAATAAACAATCGTTGTTTTTGTATTCCTTTTTTGTATTCCTGAGTCCTGACTATCTATCGGGTCGGGTATCCCACTCAACCCATACGTACGATACATCCCGCATTCCTCTAATCATCCAGTTTCTTCCTAATGTCTTGCTTGCTGGCAGGATGATGAGGATGACCTGTTCAGCTCTTGTTCCACCTCATGCCAGCTCAGCACCTGCAACTGCCATGTCAGCTGCAGCAGCTGCCACGTCAGCAACCAGCGCAAGCGCTTCCCGTATCCTTCAAATCCATCTCCCATATTTCAGCTGCCTGGTTAATCTCTTCCTCTTCCTTCGTGCCCTGGGAGTTCGGTCAGATAAGGAAATATTTGAAATGATTCTCGGGCACCCACTGAAAGAAAGTGAGGGCATGGTGGGGGCAGGGGAAGAGAGGGGAGGGAAGGGGGCCGGTAGTGTGGGGAGAGGGATGGAAAGAAAGGCGGGATTAGGAGAAGAGGAGGAGGGTGGTGAGGGAGAGGAGGAGGGAAAGCAGGAGGGAGAGGAGGAGGGGGAGAGGGGTGCGTGGTTCAAGGCCAAGAGACACAAGAGAGCAGCGAATGTCATTGTCATAGATGACAGTGATGATGATGCTGATGGTGTAGCAGCTGCTGCTGCCGTTGCTGGTGGTGGTGGTGGGGATTCTACTGATGATGCTGATGGGGGAATGGGAGGAGAAGGTGAGAAGGAGGGAGGAAAGAGGGAAGGAGGGAAGCGCGAAGGAGGGATGGAAGGAGGGATGGAAGGAGGAGAGGAAGCGCAAGCACTGATGAGGCGGCAGCAGGAGGTGCTGCAGCTGCTGCAGCACACATGTGAAGAGAACCGGAGTAGCAACCAACAGGTGAGACACGAAAGAATGCTTTACTGATGCATCAATCACAGGTGGGACTCTAATAGGTGCTGACTGTGAATGGTCTTGCCCGCGCTGCATGGTTTAGTCTCCTCTGACCTCTCATCCTTTCCCTCGAATTATCCCTCCTCCCCTCTCCCCCAACCCTCGCTTCTAACCCCCCTAAGGTGCCTCTTGCCGCTCTCGAGTCTCTGACTCACAACAACAAGCTCTCTGCATTGGACCTCCCGGCCAATGACATGCTGCCACATGTCGCCTCCTGCTCTGTCTCTCTTCCCTCTGGCGGGTCCTTTCTCTGACTGATCCCCTACCGACCCTTTCCCAGGCTGCGCTTGCTTCTCTGGAGTCTCTGACTCACAACAACAGGCTCTCTGCATGGGAGCTTCTGGCCAATGACATGCTGCCACATGTTGGCTCCGGGCCCGCCTCTCTCCCTGCCAAGGCGCAGTTTGTTGCTTACATGGCTCGAAGGCTCTGCTCCACCTGCCTTGGATATACCCCTCCGGTGAGTTCTGAGGTTGCTCTAATCACTTTGTGCGTTGATGCACCTGGTCAGACTGAAACCGCACCTCTTTCTCTCTGCCAAGGCGCAGTTGTCTCTGATTGTGCCACTTTTGATTGATTATTCAAAAATCTCATCCAGATCTCATCCACATGCTTCACATAGAAAAATAGATTCGACCCAGATTCAGCAGTCCTAACTCGTTCTTATCTTCGGAATCTCATCTACCTGCTTCACCTTTTCCATTTACATTGTTGAGTTAATTCCATCTCAACTTTTAACTAAGCGCATTGAATTCCTTTGAATCAACTCTCACAGGATGACCCTCGCAGCCTGACGCACCTCAAAGTGGAAACCTCCGGGAAGCTTCTGGAAGACCAGTTCGTCGCAGGGCTGGACAGCCTGTGCTGGTGGATCGAGCGTGAGGTCACCCGCCACGTCAGCAGGTCTCTCAGGAGCCACGTCAGCAGTGGTACAGTCAGCAGCACGAGGATGGGGTGGGGGAGGGAGGGGAGGGGGGTGACAGTGGCAGCGGCAGTGGGGGAGGAGAGGAGGGAGGTGGTGTTGGGGTATGTGAAGCGGCTGCCGTACCGCGTATTTGTGAACAAAGACTGCATATCACTGCGGTTGGAGGTGAGTGAAAGGGGGCAGATTGGATGGAATGGAACGCCGCTGTTCAGTTCAGACAGTGCATGTGCAAGTTGGGAGAGGAGGGAGGGGTTGCTGGGGTATTTGAAGCGGCTGCCGTACCGCGCTTTTGTCAACAGGGATTGCAAGCAGGTGAGTGAAAGCAGGGTCAGACAAAGAGGGGTTCAGCCAAAGAGGGGGTTAGTCACAGAGGGGGTCAGTCAGTCAGCCAAAGTTGGTGTGAGAAGTTGACTTTTGAGTCGACTCAAAAATCGACAAAGAGGGGGTTAGTGAAAGAGGGTTTAGGGTTAGCCAAAGTTGGTGGAGTCATACAGGTAACAAAAGTTTCAAGGGTCGACTTTTGAGGCGCCTCAAAATTCATACAGGTAACAGAATATTCAGTTTCAAGGGTTAATAGTGCAGTTGAGGGATCAAAATCAGAAAGTACTTGCAATGCCAATGCGGGGAGGGAGCAGCTACTGGGGTATCTGAAGGGACTGCACTGCAGTGCCACTCACTTTAATCACTCTGTCCCTCACTCACGCTTTCTCACTCATTCACTCACTCACTCGCTCACTCACTCACTCACTCGCTCACTCACTCACCCGCCCACTAGCTCACTTTCTCGCTTACTCTGTTTCCTATCCCTCCCCTTGCTTCCAGCCGGCTCTAGCAACTGGAAACTGGCACCGGCCCGGGAGCTACGGCCGAGCCAAAGGCGGCAGGTTCGGCAGCGGCAGCCAGGGCAGGTTCGGCGGAGGGTGGTATGGGACGAGCAGCAGCAGTCTGCATGCGAGTGAGCCGCTCAACCGGCTGTCTGCTTCGGCGGCACTGTCACAGCTCAGGAGGATGGAGGTGCCTTCCCATCGATCCAACACCTCTGCTGCTGCAAGACAGATGTGAGTTACATTGGTTGCTACTTTCTTTTTCTGTTGACTTCACAAGCAGCAGTCTGCATGCGAGTGAGCCGCTCAGCCGGCTGTCTGCTGCGGCGGCACTGTCACAGCTCAGGAGGATGGAGGTGCCTTCCCATCGATCCAACACCTCTGCTGCTGCAAGACAGATGTGAGTTGCTTGTTTCTTGAATGCACTTGCGAAAACCTCTCATCTCAAGGACTGTTGGCTGTCTGCTGCGGCACTGTCACACCTGAGGAGGATGGAGGTGCCTTCTCATCGAGCCAACACCTCTGCTGCTGCTAGACAAATGTGAGTCTCTTGCTCCTCCAACTGAGTCCTGAAGACTGTTGGCTGTCTGCTGCGGCACTGTCACACCTGAGGAGGATGGAGGTGCCTTCTCATCGAGCCAACACCTCTGCTGCTGCTAGACAAATGTGAGTCTCTTGCTCCAACTGAGTCCTGAAGACTGTTGGCTGTCTGCTGCAGCGGCGCTGACACACCTGAGGAGGATGGAGGTGCCTTTTCATCGAGCCAACACCTCTGCTGCTGCTAGACAAATGTGAGTCTCTTGCTCCTCCAACTGAGTCCTGAAGACTGTTGGCTGTGTGCGGCAGCGGCGCTGACACACCTGAGGAGGATGGAGGTGCCTTCTCATCGAGCCAACACCTCTGCTGCTGCTAGACAAATGTGAGTCTCTTGCTCCTCCAACTGAGTCCTGAAGACTGTTGGCTGTCTGCTGCAGCGGCGCTGACACACCTGAGGAGGATGGAGGTGCCTTTTCATCGAGCCAACACCTCTGCTGCTGCTAGACAAATGTGAGTCTCTTGCTCCTCCAACTGAGTCCTGAAGACTGTTGGCTGTCTGCTGCAGCGGCGCTGACACACCTGAGGAGGATGGAGGTGCCTTCTCATCGAGCCAACACCTCTGCTGCTGCTAGACAAATGTGAGTCTCTTGCTCCTCCAACTGAGTCCTGAAGACTGTTGGCTGTCTGCTGCAGCGGCGCTGACACACCTGAGGAGGATGGAGGTGCCTTCTCATCGAGCCAACACCTCTGCTGCTGCTAGACAAATGTGAGTCTCTTGCTCCTCCAACTGAGTCCTGAAGACTGTTGGCTGTCTGCTGCAGCGGCGCTGACACACCTGAAGAGGATGGAGGTGCCTTCTCACAGAGCCAAAAGCTCTGCTGCTGCTAGACAAATGTGAGTCTCTTGCTCCTCCAACTGAGTCCTGAAGACTGTTGGCTGTGTGCGGCAGCGGCGCTGACACACCTGAGGAGGATGGAGGTGCCTTCTCATCGAGCCAACACCTCTGCTGCTGCTAGACAAATGTGAGTCTCTTGCTCCTCCAACTGAGTCCTGAAGACTGTTGGCTGTGTGCGGCAGCGGCGCTGACACACCTGAGGAGGATGGAGGTGCCTTCTCATCGAGCCAACACCTCTGCTGCTGCTAGACAAATGTGAGTCTCTTGCTCCTCCAACTGAGTCCTGAAGACTGTTGGCTGTGTGCGGCAGCGGCGCTGTCACACCTGAGGAGGATGGAGGTGCCTTCTCATCGAGCCAACACCTCTGCTGCTGCTAGACAAATGTGAGTCTCTTGCTCCTCCAACTGAGTCCTGAAGACTGTTGGCTGTCTGCTGCAGCGGCGCTGACACACCTGAGGAGGATGGAGGTGCCTTCTCATCGAGCCAACACCTCTGCTGCTGCTAGACAAATGTGAGTCTCTTGCTCCTCCAACTGAGTCCTGAAGACTGTTGGCTGTGTGCGGCAGCGGCGCTGACACACCTGAGGAGGATGGAGGTGCCTTCTCATCGAGCCAACACCTCTGCTGCTGCTAGACAAATGTGAGTCTCTTGCTCCTCCAACTGAGTCCTGAAGACTGTTGGCTGTGTGCGGCAGCGGCGCTGTCACACCTGAGGAGGATGGAGGTGCCTTCTCATCGAGCCAACACCTCTGCTGCTGCTAGACAAATGTGAGTCTCTTGCTCCTCCAACTGAGTCCTGAAGACTGTTGGCTGTCTGCTGCAGCGGCGCTGACACACCTGAGGAGGATGGAGGTGCCTTCTCATCGAGCCAACACCTCTGCTGCTGCCCAGCAGATGTGAGCTGCTTCTTGAATGCACCCTCTCCACGTATGCCCCCCCTCCCCCCCACCTCCCAAACCCCACCCCCGCTCCCCCCCTTATTCCAGCCATGCGACTTTTTCTGGCCGCATTTGCCCGCTTGAAACCCCCAAGTCCGAGGCGATAGGTTTCTCCCTCAACCTTGCCCTTGCTACCTGCGTCTCTGAATAACCCCCCTCTATAATCCCCCTTTCCACCCCCCTCTTCTCAACCCCTTCTCCCCCACCCCATCCCAGCCATGCGACATTCTTTGGTCGCATCTGCCCGTTGGAAACCCCCAAGTCCGAGGCGATAGGTTTCTCCCTCAACCTTGCCCTTGCTACCTGCGTCTCTGGGGAAGGGGGAGAGGAGGAGGAAGAGAAAAAGGCAGAAGAAGAGGAAGGAGAGGGCGTGGGCGGGCAAGGGGGAGGAGCAGGGAAGGCAGATGGGGGAGGAGGGAATGAGGGAGGGGGACAGCAAGAAAGGGCAGGGACCGACGCTGGTGCTTGTGGTGGTGGTGATACTCATGCCAGAGCGGTTGAGAGTGGTGATGATGAGGACGTTTGGGCTTTGGATGATATTGTTGACGGTGCTGACAAGCTTTTTGCTTCGGAGAACCGAGAGGGGAACGGAGAGGGAAACCGAGAGGGGGAGCGGAAGGGGCGTGAGGAGAAAGGTGTGGGGATGGATGGATCCAAGGAGGGCCATACAGGATCGGATGTGAGAGGTGACGTGTCGTTTGGTGATTGGTGGCTGGTGAAGGAGCTGCAGACACGTGGCATGGTCTTACTGGAGCATTTAACAGAGAGGAACAAGGGTGAAGGAGGAGGCGTAAGGAGGAGCAATAAGGGTGAGGGAGGAGGAGGAGGAGGAGGAGGAGGAGGAGGAGGAGGAGGAGGAGGAGGAGGAGGAGGAGGAGGAGGAGGAGGAGGAGGAGGAGGAGGAGGAGGAGGAGTGTGGGTGAATGGGCGACCAGTCGGGTGGCATGCTGACCTGGCAGAGCTGACTAGGCAGATGAGGAGGAAGAGACAAAGGGGCGCCAAGAGATACAGAGAGGTGTGTATTCCCTTCCTGTCCACCTCCCTTCTAAGAGCTCATAAGCTCATACATTCCCTTCCTGTCCACCTCCTTTCAGTCCACTTGGTGCGCGCGGCGCGCACCACAAGCCGACATGGGCACGCATGCTGACCTGGTTTCTTTCCTTGTAAAGTCCAGCTACTACCGTATGACTGCTTTTATACCCAACCTTCTGCTACTCACTGGTCTTCCCCTTCTTCTCTTGTTGCCGATTTTCACTTTCCCCTTTTTTTTTATCTTTTCACCCTATTTCACTGTGTCCTCTCACTCCCCTGCACCCCCTGTCAGCTGGGCATGGCCTATCACCCCGCCCTGCACGCCCTGCACCTCGCCTCCTCCCCTGGTCGCATCCTCCGCCCCTTGCTGCTGCAACAGCCGCCCATCGACCTGCCTCACAGTATGAGCAGCAGCTGGAACAGCTACGGCTGGGGGCAGGCATGGCAGGGCATGCTCGCATCAGGGGCAGTCGAGTATGTAGATGCAGAAGAGGAGGCGGCTAACTGCGTTGCTGCCCCAGCAGAACCACTCCTAGCTGCAGAGCAGCGCAAGGAACTCTCTGAAACAAGCCTGAAGGATATAGACGACGGTGCGGCACGGGACGTTCGGCAGCAGTCTCCCGACTCTACTCTGTCTCTGTCGTCATTTCTTCGAGACTCGCCTGGTTTGGCCGCATCTGCTCGCTTTAACGCGTCTGCACGTTACTCCCATGTGGAGATTCACCCAGAGCTCATGTTTGGCGTGATTGCGTCGGCTCTCCCTTTTGTGAATCATAACGGCATTTCTCGCAGCACTGGCGCTGCTCACATGTTCAAACAGGTGTGTCAGAAAGAGGCACTTCCTTAATCGTAGGGTTTGATTAAAAGTAAGTGAAATATCCATCCTTTGCTTATGTTTGGCGCAATTGCATCGACTTTCCCTTTTGTGAATCACAATGGCTTCGTTTTGCACTGCCCCCAACCCCCCCTCCCCATTCCGTTTTTCCTATTTCCTCTTTCCCCCTTCTCCTCCTCCTGCCTCCTCCCACAGGCCATGGGCATGCCACCATACAACCTCCCCCATCGCGCCGACCGCACGCTCTTCGCGCTGCACTACCCGCAGCGGCCACTCGTTGCATCCAGAATTGCTGAAATCGCCAGTGGGCTTTCAGACTTCCCCAATGGGCAGAACGCCATTGTCGCCGTGATGAGCGCTGGATACAACCAGGTACAGTGCGGTGCTGTGGGATTTAACTTGGTTTGATGCTGTGCGGGTGGGTTCGAGTGGGTGTCATGAGGGTACGTTTCTCCCTCTGCTGCTGCACTGCACTGCTGGGCTGTTTGGGTGCTTCAATGAATGCCTTCGTTGTTCCTTCTCAATCCTCTCCTCTCTTCCCTTCTCCCCTTTACCCTCCCTCCCTTCCCACCAATCAGGAGGACGTGTTGATCATCAACCAGGCGTCACTCGACAGAGGGCTGTTTGGCAGCACCACCTTCAGAGAACGTTTTTTGAGGCGCCTCAAATGTCATTGTTGTCTGTTGCTGTCTAACCCTATCCCCTCCCCTCTCCCCCCATCAGGAGGATGCACTGATCATCAACCAGGCGTCAGTTGACAGAGGGCTGTTCGGCAGCACCACCTTCAGAAGCTTCGTGGAAGAGGAGGTGAGCTGAGCTGTATAGATAGACGTGGTGGTGCCAATGGTGGTGACGCCTCTGGGGTGAAGGAGGTTTGAAACCAGCAGATGTGCCTCAGAAGGGCAATTTCTGAGACGTCTCAAGATGCTTTGTGGAGGAGCAGAATCAGTCACCCTACCTACCCAATTCTTGAGGTCGTTTTTGAGGCGCCTCAAAAACGACCTCATTTCTGAGACGTCTCAAGATGCTTCGTGGAAGAGCAGAATCGGTCACCCTACCTACCAAATTCTTGTCATCTAAACTCTCTTTCTTACTCGCCAAACGTGGCAGGGCAAGGCTGGTCGGGGCAAGGTGGAAGTGACCTGGAGGTTCGGCAAGCCGAGCCTGGACGGGGGGTCGGGTGCAGCTTGGCCCGGGGCAGCCGAGCCTGCTGGTTTGGGAGTTGGTGTGGGGGAGATGGAGGTAGAAGAGGGGGGTGCGGATGGGTGGGGAGGGAAGGGAGTGGAAGGGGGAGGTGGTGGGGGGTGGGGGAGAGGGAATGGGGAAGGAGGGGGCGGAGAGGGGGGTTGGGGGGGAGGTGGAGACGGGGGGGCCGAGGCTTGGGGAGGGGGAGGGGGGGACGCGGGGGGAGGCTGGGGAGGGGGAGGGGGAGAGGTGGGGGGAGGTTGGGGAGGGGGAGGGGGAGGGGGAGATGAGCACACTGGATGGGGAGGGGATGGGGGGACAGGTGAGGCGGGTACAGGAGGAGGAACGGGAGGATGGGGAGGAGGGGGAGGAGGCGGAGGGGAAGGGGAAGGAGGGGGAGGAATGGGAGGAGAGGGAGGAGGGGAAGGAGCGGGATTAGCTGCTGCTTCGGGAAAAGCTGGGCACGCGGGATGGGACGCGGATGGTCTTACCGATAGCGATAATGATGCTGATGCTGCTGGTGCCGGTGCTTCTGCTGGTGGCACTGCTGCTGCTGGTGCTGGTGGTGCCAGTGCTGCTGCTGCTGCTGGTGGTGCCAGTGCTGCTGCTGGTGCTGGTGGTGCCACTTCTGAGGCGCCTCAAAAGGCGGCTGCAGGGAAGGCTGGGCGTGCGGGGTGGGATGCGGATGGTCTTACTGATAGCGATGATGATGTTGGTGGTGCTGGTGGTGGTGCCAATGGTGGTGATGGTAGTGCCTTTGCTGGTGATGGTGATAGGCAGAGTAGAGGAAAGAGAGGGAGAAAAGGCGAGGGACGACCTCTGCGAGCTAAGGCGGAGCCGATAGATCTTACGCAAGATGATGATAATGCTGACGTGGCGATGGCGCAGGCTGACGAGAAGGATGCCACGTGGCAAGATGATGAGGATGTGGCGGCCAAGCAAGATGATGACGTGGCAGTGAATCAAGCGACGGGTGGATGGGGGGAGCAAGGAGGAGGGTCAGGGTCAGCAGGAGAAGGAGGAGAAGAAGCAGCAGCAGGGTGGGGTGAGAGGAGTGAGAAGGAGGGTGGGAATGGTGGGTGGGGCGGAAGTGAGAGGGCGGAGGGTGGGGGTGTTGGATGGGGTGAGGGTGATGGTACTGCTGCTTCTGCTGCCGATGGTGCGGATAACAGTGGTGGCAGGTGCAGGAGTGATGCTGCTGATGCTGCTGCTGGTGCTGCTGAAGGTGGGGAGGATGGTGATGGTGGGTGGGGTGGTGGTGGTGGTGGTGGTGGTGGTGGTGGTGGTGGTGGTGGTGGTGGTGGTGGTGGTGGTGGTGGTGGTGGTGGTGGTGGTGGTGGTGGTGGTGGTGGTGGTGGTGGTGGTGGTGGTGGTGGTGGTGGTGGTGGTGGTGGTGGTGGTGGTGGTGGTGGTGGTGGTGGTGGTGGTGGTGGTGGTGGTGGTGGTGGTGGTGGTGGTGGTGGTGGTGGTGGTGGTGGTGGTGGTGGTGGTGGTGGTGGTGATGGTGATGGTGATGGTGATGGTGATGGTGCTGCTGCCGCTGGTGCGAATAATAGTGATGGTATTGGTCGTGGTGGCGAGTGGGGGAGTGGTGCTGCTGATACTGCTGCTCGTAGGGATGGTGGTGATGGTTGGGGTGGTGATGCTGGTGGGAGTGGTGAGGGTGATGGTGGGGGTGGTGGTGGGGATGATGGTTGGGGTGGTAATGGGGGTGGTGGTAAGAGTGGTGGTGAGGGTGGGGAGAGCGGCGGATGGGGTAATGAGGAGGACACAGGAAGAGAAGGAGGAGGAGCAGCAGCAGCTGAAGAAGAAGCAGGGGGGTGGGGTGCAAGTGACAAGGAGGGGGACGCGGGTGGTGGGTTGAATGACAGTGGAGGAGGGGGAGGGTGGGGTGCTGCTGCTGGTGCTAATGGCGCTGATAATGGTGCTGCTGATGCTGGTGATGTTGGTGGTTGGGGTGAGGAAGGTAGAGACGAGGAGGATAGAGGAAGAGAGGGAGGAGCAGCAGCAGCAACACAAGCAGGGGGGTGGGGTGCGAATGATAAGGAGGGTGACGAGGGTGGTGAGTTGAATGGCAGTGGGGGAGGAGGAGGACGGGGAGGAGGCTGGGGTGTTGGTGGTGCTAATCGTGGTGGGTGGGGGACTGCTGATGCTGATGCTGGTGGTGGTGGGGGCGGTTGGGGTGGTACGGATGGTGCTGCTGCTGCTGGTGGTGCTGTTGATGGTGGGGATGGTTGGGGTGGTGGTGCTGGTGATGCATCTGGTGCTGTTGCTGCTAGTGGGGGTGGCTGGGGTGGTACGGGTGATGCTGCCGCTGGTGGTGCTGGTGCTGCTGGTGAGGGTGGTTGGGGTGGTGGTGCTGCCGCTGGTGATGCTGCTGGTGATGCTGCTGGTGGTGCTGCTGGTGGTGCTGCTGGTGGTGCTGCTGGTGCTGCTGGTGGTGGTGCTGCTGCTGGTTCTGCTGGTGCTGCTGGTGGGGCTGGTTGGGATGGTGGTTCTGCTGCTGGTGATGGTGGGGGTGGTTGGGGTGGTAAGGGTGATGGTGGTGGTGCTGGTTGCGGCGGTGCTGGTGGGGGTGGTTGGGGTGGTACAGGTGCTGCAGCTGGTGCTGGTGGTGCTGGTGAGGGTGGGGATGGTTGGGGTGGTGGTGCTGGTGATGCATCTGGTGCTGTTGCTGCTAGTCGGGGTGGTTGGGATGGTGCTGCTGTTGCTGCTAGTGGGGGTGGTTGGGGTGGTACGGGTGATGCTGCCGCTGGTGGTGCTGCTGCTGGTGAGGGTGGGGGTGGTTGGGGCAGTGATGGTGCTGCTCGTAATGGTGGTGCTCGTGGGAGTGGTTGGGGTGATGGTGCTGCCGCTGGTGATGGTGCGGGTGGTTGGGGTGGTGCTGCTGCTGCAGGTGATGCTGCTGCTGGTGGTAGTGCTGCTGGTGAGGGTGGGAGTGGTTGGGGTGGTGCTGATGCTGCTGCTGCTGGTGGTGGGAGTGGTTGGGGTGGTAGGGGTGATGGTGCTGATGGTGCTGGTGGTTGTGGGGGTGGTTGGGGTGGTGATGCTGCCGCTGGTGGTGGTGGGAGTGGCTGGGGTGGTACGGCTGAGGGTGCTGATGGTGCTGGTGATGGTGGGGGTGGTTGGGGTGGTACGGGTGATGCTGCCGCTGGTGCTGGTGCTGCTGGTGCTGGAGGGGGGTGGAGAGGAGGTGGTGGAGAGGGGGGATGGGGAGGAGGAGGGGGAGAGAAAGGAGGAGGGGGAGAGGGAGGAGGAGGGGGAGGGGGAGGAGGGTGGGGCGGGGGAGGTTGGGGTAAGGAGAGAGGGCAGAGTGAGGGTGATGCGGCTGGTGGGAACACAAGAGATGGAGAGGACGGGTGGGGAGGAGGAGGGGGTGGTGGGGATGGGTGGGGAGGAGGAGGGGGTGGTGGGGATGGGTGGGGAGGCGGAAGAGGAGGTGAAGATGGGTGGAGAGGTAGAGAGGACGGGGGAGATGAGGGAGGAGGGGGGGAAAGGGGGTGGAGGGGGAGGGGAGGAAGGGGGAGGGGTCGCGGGAGGGGAAGGGGAAGGGGGAGGGGAAACGATTCGTGGGGAGACAGGGAGCAGGGTGACGGGGGAGGGGGAGATGGAGGAAGGGGGAGTGGATGGGGGGGAGGCGGATCGGGGGGAGGTGGATGGGGGGGAGGAGGGGGAGGCGGTTGGGGGGAAGGTGGAGAAGGGGAAGGTGGAGGAGGGGGAGAGCGTGGTGTCAGGGGAGATAGAGATGGGGGGAACCGATGGGGGGGAGTAGGGGGAGGCGGATGGGGGGGAGATGGGGGAGGAGGTGGGGGAGGAGATGGGGCAGATGAAGAAGGGAGAAGCTTTGGGGGGAGCGAAAGAGGCAGGGGCAGGGGCAGGGGCAGGGGGAGGGGGAGGGGAAGAGGAGACGGAGAATTCCGGGAAGGCAGAGGGGGAAGGAGAGGGGGGCGAGGAGATCATCACGGGGAGCGCATGGAGCGGCAGGAGAGGCCTAAGAGATGGTCCCAATATGATCATCTGGGGGAGAATGGGCTTCCAAAAGTGGGCCATCCGTTGCTGTGGCCGGGAGAAGTGGTTGGGGGGGGAACAGGCGATGGGGGAGAGGGGACAGGCATGGGGGGAGGGGCAACAGGAGAGGCGGTTGGGGGAGCAGCGGCAGGAGGGACAGGCGCAGTGGAGGGGGCAACGGGAGGGGAGGTGGCAGGGATTAGGGTTTACTGTAGCTCGGGCGTGGGGGGAGGGAGCGCGGGGGTGTGGGGGAGGAGTGTGGCGGATCGAGGTGTGTTTGGGGGGAGGGAGAGAGCCGTTCTGATTGGCCACGTGGCGGCTGGGGTGAGTAAACGTTTTTGCTGGGGTGAGTGCAAAGGCATTTTGCTGGGGTGAGTGCATATCTAGAGTCCAAAGTCGTGCATATTAGGGTCATGTCTAGAGCCAAAACACTGTCAAGGAACAAGCAGTTTTTCAGCTCTCCACTGCATTAACACCGTCTCTCCTCTTTCCACTCCCCGCTTCTACCCTTCCCCTCTCCACTCCTTCTCGCTCCCTCTTTCCAACCGCCCCGCCTCTTCTTTCTCATGAGACTACGAACCGCTTGCCAGGGGGAAGGGGGATGGGGGAAGGGGGATGGGGGAAGGGGGAAAGGGGAAGGACGAACCCAGGTTCATGGTGTCCCAGGTTCGTAGTCTCATGGTGTCTCAGGTAGAAGGGGGAGGCGGCGTAGTGGACGCTGCTTGCATGTCGCCTCCTCACCCCGCATCCCGCCCTTCTCTCCCCTCCCCTCCCCTCCAGCCGCCTCGAGTCACGGCCACAGGGGAGGAGGAGAAAGTTTGTAGTCTCATGGTGTCGCAGGTGGAAGGGGGAGGCGGTGTAGTGGACGCTGCTTGCATATCGCCTCCTCACCCCGCATCCCGCCCTTCTCTCCCATCCTCTCCCCTCCAGCCGCCCTGCCTGACTGCCACAGGGGAGGAGGAAAAAGTGCGTAACCTCATGGTGTCTCAGGTGGAGGGGGGAGGCGGCATAGTGGATGCTGCTCGCATGGACACGGACAGTCATGGCGTGCGCCTGGGGAGGGTGAGTCTCTGGGTATGGCTGGGCAGCTTAATTACCACTCGCGCACAGAGTGAGTCTGTGGGGATGGCTGTCTGTGGGTGTGGAGGGGAGAGGCGGCATAGTGGATGCTGCTCGCATGGACACGGACAGTCATGGCACGCGGCTGGGGAGGGTGAGTCTCACCCTCTCACGCACAGAGTGAGTCTGGGGTTGTGACAGTCAGTCTCTGGGTGGAAGGGGGAGGCGTAATAGTGGACGCTGCTCGCATGGACACGGACCAGTCACGCCATGCGACATGGCAGTCATGGTGTGTGGCAGTCTCAATCACAGGGTGATTTTTGAGAATTCTCAAAAATCCCATGGTGGGTGGCAGTCTCAATCACAGGGTGATTGAGAGCCCTTGATGGCAGTCACAGGGTGATTGAGAGCCCTTGATGGCAGTCACGCCCTTGATGGCAGTCACGCCCTTGTTTTTGCCATCGTTTCATGCTGTGATTCAATCTGCTCTTTGCAAAATTTTCTCCTCTCATCTCCTTCCCCCCACCCCACCCACTTTCTTCCACTTTCTTCTGTCCCTAGGTGCGTCTGAGGGCCACCCTCCGACCAGAGGTGGGGGACAAGCTCACGAGTCGGCACGGCCAGAAGGGAGTTATTGGGCCACGTTAGTGTGCTGGCGTCTCTGAGAGACACTGCCACGGTCTCTTCCCCCTCCCTTCCCTTCTCTCTTCCCTCCCAAGGTGCGTCTGAGAGCCACGCTCCGACCAGAGGTGGGGGACAAGCTGACGAGCCGGCACGGGCAGAAGGGAGTGATTGGCCGCGTGCTGCCCTCCCACGACCTGCCCTGGTTCGATGCCGTTGCCAGAATCAGTTCCTCTTTTAAAGCCCCTGGTGCTTCTGGCGGTGCTGCTGCTGGTGCTGCCAGTGCTGCCGCTGCTGGTGCTGGTGCTCCTGCAAATGCAAATTCAACTGCTGCTGGCGCTGCAGCAGTGGGAGCCCCACTAGGAGTGATACCTGATCTGGTGATCAACCCACACGCGCTGCCCTCCCGCATGACACTGGGGCAAGTCATGGAAGCACTGTTCGCTAAGGTATGTACAGCACCAGCTCGCACCGCAATGCACCACAATGCACCGCATTGCACCGGACTGCACCGCACCCAGCAGTGGGAGCCCCGCTAGGGGTGGTACCTGATCTGGTGATCAACCGACACGCGCTGCCCTCCCGCATGACGCTGGGGCAAGTCATGGAAGCACTGTTCGCCAAGGTATGTACAGCACCATCCTGCACTGCACCATGCTCCACCACAATATACTGCCTTGCACTGCATTGCACCGCACCTACACCAGTGGGACAGGCACTGCAAGGGGTGGTACCTGATCTGGTGATCAACCCACACGCGCTGCCCTCCCGCATGACACTGGGACAAGTCATGGAAGCACTCTTTGCTAAGGTACGGTCATCTCCGCGCTGCACCGCACCGAGCTGCACTGCACTACACCGCACCCACAGCAGTGGGAACACTGGTAGGGGCGGTACTGGGTCCGGTGATCAACACACGCGCTGCCCTCCCGCATGACACTGGGGCAAGTCATGGAAGCACTCTTCGCCAAGGTACAGACAGCACAGACCCGTATGTTTTTTGAGAATTCTCAAAAAACATACGCTGGTTTCACAATCTTTTCTTGCTCTGTTCGTGCACCCTGTTGCTATTTTTTCGTTGACTCAAATGGGTTCCCACAAGACTCTCATGCTGCGCACTCGGTGTTTTATTAGAGTCGATTTTTGAAGCAATACCTACCGGATCCCTCCACCCTCCGTCGTCTGTTGTTCATCCATGCTTGTCTCTTGTCAGGTGGCATGCTCCCCCGTGCAAGAGACAAGCGGCAATAAGAGCATCTCCTCCTTCTCCTCGGACCTTTGGGGGTCGGACCTTCTGTCCGAAGCACAGCAGCGGCTGCGCAGGTACATCCGTCCCCTTCTTCTCTGGCTGCTTCCCCTCCTTCTCTGGCTGCTTCCCCTCCTTCTCGGGCTGCTTCCCCTCCTTCTCTGGCTGCTTCCCCTCCTTCTCGGGCTGCTTCCCTTCCTTCTCTGGCTGCTTACACACTCTCCTCCTTCTACACTTGCTCCTCTGACACCTCTAAGGCTCGAACCTGCTGAGTGAAGCACAGCAGCGGCTGCTCGCTGTTCACCATTCACCCCTTTTCTGCCAATGAGTACAAAATTTCCACCCCATCCCCACCCTTTCCACCCCATCCCCACCCTTTCCACCCCATCCCCACCCTTTCCACCCCATCCCCACCCTTTCCACCCCATCCCCACCCTTTCCACCCCATCCCCACCCTTTCCACCCCATCCCCACCCTTTCCACCCCATCCCCACCCTTTCCCACTGCCACGCTCCTCATGATACCTCCCCCTTCCACCCATCCCTACCACCAATACCAGTGAGAAAGATCCTGACATGCATCAGATGTTAGCATCAGATGTTAGCATCAGATGTTAGCATCAGATGTTAGCATCAGATGTTAGCATCAGATGTTAGCATCAGATGTTAGCATCAGATGTTAGCATCAGATGTTAGCATCAGATGTTAGCATCAGATGTTAGCATCAGATGTTAGCATCAGATGTTAGCATCAGATGTTGGCATCAGATGTCTCCTGTCTTCTGTCCTGATAGCGCCCCTGTCCTCTCCTCTTCCCCGTCTCTCTCTACCACCAGTTGCGGCTATTCAACTCTCGATGTGGGCAGGCACGCTGAGTTGACTTTTGAGTCGACTCAAAAGTCAACCCTGTCTCTCTCTACCACCAGTTGCGGCTATTCAACTTTCGATTTGGGCAGGCACGCTGCTCACTGCGGAGTGACGGGGCGGGATATGGAAGGGAGAGTGTTTGTGGGCCCCACTCACTACCTGCGTCTGAAGCACCTGGCATCCGACAAGCGAGCCACACAGGCTATTGAGACCAACCCTTTTTCTACCCTCCTCACCCATCCCTCCTTCCAGTTGCGGCTACTCTCCTCTTGACTTGGGCAAAGACATTGCGTACTGTGGGGTGACAGGACAAGAGATGGAGGGAAGGGTGTTTGTCGGCCCCACTCACTACCTGCGGCTGAAACATCTGGCAGCTGACAAGAGAGCCACAAGGGCCATAGGGACCAAGCAGGTGAGATGCGGTGATGTGCGGTGCTGTGCGGTTCAGTGGTGTGTGCGGTGTGTGTGTGGGTCCTAAAGCAGAGTGGATGGAATGACGGGAACGTGTTTGTGGGCCCCACTCACTACCTGCGTCTGAAGCACCTGGCAGCCGACAAAAGAGCCACACGGGCCATTGGGACCAAGCAGGTGAGGTGTAGTGATGCGCAGTGACGAGCGGTGCTGTGCGGTGCTGTGTGGTGCAATGTCATACGGTGCGGTGTGTGTGGGAGGGCTCCTAAAATAGTGGAGGGGAGGGTGTTTGTGGGACCCAGTCACTACCTGCGTCTGAAGCACCTTGCTGCTGACAAGAGAGCCACACGGGCGAGTGGGACCAAACAGGTGAGCCCCGGTGATGTGCGGTACTATGTGGTGATGTGTGGTGCAGTAGTGTGGTGTGTGGTGCAGTGGTGTGTGTGGTGCAATGGTGTGTGTGGCATGCATCATGCATCTACCCACCCTCCCGTCCCTTCCACCGCATCCCATCCCTCATTATCCCTCCCAACACCCAACAGATGAACACCAGGCAGCCGACTAAAGGCAGGGCGCAGCAGGGGGGCATGCGGGTGGGGGAGATGGAGAGAGACTGCATGGTGGCTCACGGGGCAGGGAGCATGCGTCTACCCACTCTCACCGCATCCCATCCCTCACTATCCCTTCACTTCCATGATGCACCTCTCGTTGCAGATGACCACGCGCCAGCCCACCAAGGGCAGGGCGCAGCAGGGGGGCATGCAGGTGGGGGAGATGGAGAGGGACTGCCTGGTGGCGCACGGGGCAGCGCACTCCCTCTCTGAGCGCCTCTCGCTCCTCTCAGACGACACCGCTGTCGCTGTCCGCTGCTTTGGCTGCTTTTTTTCTCTCCTGACCCCCTTTTCCCTTCTCTTTCACCGCATCCAACCCCACACAATCCCTTCCAACCCCTTGCAGATGACTACCCGACAGCCCACCAAGGGCAGGGCGCAGCAGGGGGGCATGCGGGTGGGGGAGATGGAGAGAGACTGCATGGTGGCTCACGGGGCAGCGCACTCCCTCTCTGAGCGCCTCTCGCTCCTCTCAGACGCCACCGCCGTTACTGTCTGCTCTGCCTGCCGCTTCATCGCCACTGCGGCGGGTGGCTCTGGGGGAGGTGCACCTGGGGGAGGTGGTGGTGGTGGCAGCGGTTTTGATGGTTATGCTGCTGCTGGTGGTTTCGGTGGCTTTGGAGGAGAGGGGAGTGATCACCATGGCCCTGGGTGCCAGTCGTGTGGAAGCAGCAGGAACACCACAGAGGTATGTTTGTGATGTAACGGTATGTGTGCATGCGTGCAAAGGTAACCTGGAGGAGAGGGGAGTGATCGCCATGGCCCTGGGTGCCAGTCGTGTGGAAGCAGCACAAACACCACAGAGGTAAGCCATGCCACAGGGAATGTGCGGCATGTGTGCATGGCCTATATCGTGAAGCAGCGTGGGGCATGTGTGCATGGCCTAAATCGTGAAGCTGGTTTGAAAAACACTTATGTGCTGGTATAGTGGCCACGCACACAGCTGAGGATTCTTAAAAGTGATGTCATGAAGCTTCGGTTGGATGAGCTGAGGGCTATGGGGTTGAAGTGCATACCATTTCTCATGTAACGTATGCATGCTTTCCTTCCATCCTTCCCCCCTTTCGCTGGCCCCCCTTCCTCCCACAGGTGTGCATGCCGTATGCTGTGAAGCTACTGTTTGATGAGATGAGGGCCATGGGGATTTCAGTGCGCGTGCAGCCATCCCACTGCTGACTGCTGCTCCATGCGCATTCTAGAATCAAGCATTCCCTCATCCAACGTCAATTAGTGCACTGCGTTGCTTCACTACTCTGTGAAAACACCTAACCTAGGAAATCTGCAAATACCTCATCAATTGCGTCAGGGTTTAAGGCTAATGCGGAACTTCCATATTTCTCCAGCAGCCAATGTCTGCAGCACAATCCGTGCCACCAAATCATGGCAAAACACCCTCCACCCAGAGCTCACACTCACATGGCTGTGGCAACATCCTATCACCCTCCTGTTAGCAATACTTTCTTGCTCTTCCCTACGACTTCCCTCCTGATCTTACCTAGCCTTTGTACATTACGTATCCCCACCCATGTTAGCTAAACTTGTACAGGTAAAGCGGAATGCCATCTATTCTCCTCTCCTCAACTGGCCGAAACTTCTCAGTAGCTAAACTTGTACAGGTAAAGCGGAATGCCATCTATTCTCCTCTCCTCAACTGGCCGAAACTTCTCAGGAAACTTCCAGCAGAAGGAGACTACGCGGCTGTGCGGGGGCAGCTGCGACTGCAGGCGAAGAACCAGCTGCTGGTTACCGAATTCGCTGAGGTATATGTCGCGAAGGTCCACCGTCAGTGAATCCTGCAGGGATAGAGGGCGGATAGGTTCTGATCAGTACTTAACTTCCCAAGCCACCTTTCTCGCGAAGGCACTTAAAATTCCTTACGTTATCAACGAGACCTTGTGCCACCTGACCAGCCATTTCCCCTCTAACCTCCCGTTTTTCTCCCCGCACCCATCTCCTCTCCCCTCACCCATCTCATCTCCCCCTTCCCCTACCCACCTTCCTTTCGCCTCCTTTCCCCTTCTTTTCCTATCCAAACACACCCTTTTCACGATGCTACCTGGCAAGAAACTGCGATTCGGTCAGCCAATCCGTGCCGTTGAATGTTTTCTTCAGCTGCCCGTAGAAGCTCCGCATTTAAATCCACGCCGAACCCTCTCGACCCATGTCTTAGCGCGGCTTCTACCAGCAATCTCCCATCGCCGCACCCCAGGTCGCAAACCACGTCGTCAGGTCCGGCACGAGCCAGCCGAAGCATCTCCCGAACCACGTGCGGAGGTGTGGGAACATATGGCGCGAGGCGCTGCCCCAATAGGAAGCGAGCCCAAGAGCCGAGCCAGAGGCGGCCGGGCGAGGCCATGACGGGTTCGGATGCGACAGGAGTGCTCAACGTACGGCGGAGACAACGTTTGTGTTCAACGTGTTCTCAGTAACGAAACGTACAACACGTTGTCAACGCGGCGGGCCTACGTTGGCTGCAGCATGCGACAGGAGGCAAGCAGGGAGGAGCAAGAGATGCCATGGCGACTGATGGATCAGCCATCAGGCAACAATGCAAGTATACTAGTCTGATAGGCAGGATAGGCACAGGCGGGAAAAGGCAAGAGTTGCGGAAACGAAGCGGCGACCAGCCCATTCCCCCAGCAGGTAGTGTATGTATGCTGGGCAGCTTTTCCCCTTTCAAAACACCGATCTTTGCGGCAAATCCATGGCCTCTGCGCGCCAGAAGGGGCAGCTATCTGCGGGTGCGCAAAACGTTGTTTGCGGAATTTGTGAGCAGAGCCAGCTGGTGGTCCCAGCAGCAGCCCAGCTGGGCTGACCTTCGACGTGGCTTGGGAGCTCTGACTGGGCGAATGAAAAATCTTATGGAACTTGACACGTAGTCGGGGTCCATCGGGTGAAGGTGAGTGGATATGTTACCATTGGCTGATGTGGACGGGCCAGTGAAAAGCTGTCTGATCCCCGCTTTTCGGAGATGCAGGTTGCCTTTTTGGGCACTTGGGATGGTTTTTTTTACGCAGCAGCAACCCTAGCTGCTCTGGAAGAATTATGCTACCCCAGTTTCCTCAAGTAGCTCGAGTTCCGGAAAGTCATTTCGTACTTCAGAAGCAACGCAGGCGGAAACCATGCAATTCTTCAAATTAAGCCTGGAAATCAGATCGAAAGACTAGTTTTGGACAAATTCACTACGGTACAGCTGTAATACCTGAAGTGAAACGCCTTTCGAAAGTTTTGACAACAACCATCCTGGTCCCGGATATTTCGCACGTGACTACGTCGCTCACAGCTATTTCGGACGAACCAACCTTGAGCCCTCATTTTTCCTCCCAGCTTCCAACGTTCCAGGATTCCAGAACCTCCCGAGAGGTTCTTTCAGTGGCTCCATTCTCCCTCACCCTCACCTCCCTCAGCTCTGTCTGCCACCTTCGCCAGGCGATTTGCCTGATTCTTGGCCTTCTAATTCTTCCGGTCATTTATACATTTTTATTCCATGGCTGCTGAGCTCGCAGTCACGAGTTCGTTGACCGCTGCTGCGTCTCTTACTCGATCAGCTAACTCGGTTCGGAAGAGTCAATCAGGCATTCAGAACAAACTTGCGTGGAAGAAGCTTGCTGCAAGTTTCTCGCAATCTGGTCTCCCATTGTCATCCACGCACAAACAAGGTGCGTTCGTGATGCTTCCCGCTCGTCTCTATCCATTCACCTACCTCGTAGTGATTACTTCTCGAATCTTCGAATCCTACATTATGATTAGTGATTCGGACGGCAGAGGTATTGTTCGTTGCACCAATTTCTGTTAATTCACATAATGTACCGCTGCAGAAGTTTTCCAAGAAAAGCGTCAACGATCTAGCAGCTTTGTTCGGGCGACTGTCGCAGACGCAGCTCAGAGTTCCAAGTAAGTCATAACGGATAACGGTGTTGCATTCGTATGTTTCTGCAGGACTTAACTATAAGAGAGTAACGAAGATGAATCATCATGGTTGACAATGGTTGAGATATTGCTGATGTTTTTCGGCCAAACAACTGGCGTACGCAACTTCAAGTGCAGTTGAGCAGTGATTGGTGCTACTTATCGTTGTCTCTTCCCGTCAATCTCATCCGTGTCCTATTTCAATACTTCCCCTGCAGAATGGCGTCTTCCACTGACCTTTCTCGGATCGGCCTCGCTGGTTTGGCGGTGATGGGACAGGTAAGGTTGCTGGGAATGGACATTTGTCATGGCATTTCCCTTTTTTTTTTTAAATAATGAGCCGTGTTTGAATATCCGCGAGACGTTTTTCATTTGATTATTTTGCCAAGCAGATTTGCAAGATTTACGCATAGCCTTCGATTTTTTTTCTCCCTGCCTGCGAATCATTGCGGAGAAAAATCTCTCCATTTTCGTGTAAAACCCGCACAGCAACCAAGATGAACGACATGTCAGTATCTAATGTATTTCGTCAGTCTTCTTTGCCTGCCTGCAGAACCTCGCTCTGAACATTGCCGAGAAGGGCTTCCCCATCTCCGTGTACAACCGCACGGCCAGCAAGGTGGACGACACCGTCGCTCGCGCCAAGGCGGAGGGCGACCTGCCCCTGCGCGGCTTCCACGACGTGAAGGACTTCGTGGAGTCGATCCAACGGCCCAGATCGATCATCATTCTGGTGAAGGCCGGGAAGCCCGTGGATGACACGATCAAGGTGCTCTCGGAGTACTTGGAGCCGGGTGACGTCATCATCGATGGCGGGAACGAATGGTGAGGAAATTACGATTGTTGGCCGACCTTTCTTTGAACATGTCTCTTTCCTGTTGAGTCCCGACGGACTGCACCGTTGACGGCGCGACATAGCGCGAGGAGTGGTAGTGTTGTCAGCACGTTCTCTTTAGTCGATGACAGTAGGAGTGAATGGCCAGGGGTTTCGAGAATCCCGCTCAGAACTACCGCTTCGCATTCGTTTAAAAAAGGTTTGCAGGATTTGAATTCATGAAACAAATTGTCAGAAGCTCTTAAACTAACTAGGCCCGTTGGTTCACCTCGCTTTCCTTTTCCCTTCTTCCCTTCTTCCCTTCTCTCCGGTGTTATCAACAATCAGGTACGAGAACACGGAGCGTCGAGAGGCTGAGGCGAAGGCCAAGGGTCTCCTCTACCTGGGCATGGGCGTGTCAGGCGGCGAGGAGGGCGCTCGGTTCGGGCCGTCGCTCATGCCGGGCGGGTCTAAGGAGGCGTACGCGATAGTGGAGGACGTGGTAAAGAAGGTGGCGGCTCAGGTGGACGACGGGCCGTGTGTTACTTTCGTGGGCAAAGGTGGCGCGGGGAACTTCGTGAAGATGGTGCACAATGGGATTGAGTACGGCGACATGCAGCTCATCTCGGAAGCGTGAGTTTTTGGGGTTAGGACTGGTCGGCTGGGATAGGATGGGCTTGGGTGGGGTCGGAATTTTCATGTGGAATGATCAGTGGCTTTAGAGATAGGGAAGTGTCCTAAATTTGGGCGCAGGGTCAAATGCGGCAACATGGAAAGCTGGAAATTTCGGGTTTAGTTTGGGGGAGTGCGTGACAGACTTTGTGCAAGATGGAATGAGTACGGCATGGAGCTCATTTCAAATGGTGAACAAAGGATTTAATCACCAGGTGTTGGGATTTCGAGGTTTGGATAGCGTTGGCTCCTTGATGGGATTGTGCCGACGTTGGGGAGCTGCGGTTCGGGGAGTGCGGAGATAGTTGTTGTGAGACCTCGCAGCACCAGACAAAGCCAAGTTCCCAGTCGACGCGATCCTCCCTTCCCCGCTTTTCCCGTTTCTCCCTTCAACCCTTTCCCGCTTCGCCCTCACATTCCAGCTATGACATTCTGAAGAATGTAGGTGGCCTCTCAAGTGAGATCCACTCGGTGTTCACCAGCTGGGACAAGAACGAGCTCGAGAGCTTCCTGGTCACTCTCCTATGCTCACTCCCTCCCCCCTCCTCCCCATCTCCCCTTGCCCATCTGCTTCTTTCAGCTATGACATCCTGAAGAACGTGGGTGGGCTTTCAAACGAGGAGCTTCACGCCGTGTTCACCAGCTGGAACAAGAACGAGCTCGAGAGCTTCCTGGTGGAGATCACTGCCGACATCTTCGCAGTCAAGGACGACCGCGCGGCTCCAGGCGAAAACAAGTTCCTGGTCGACGCAATCCTCGACAAGACCGGCATGAAGGGCACCGGCAAGTGGACGGTCCAGCAGGCAGCAGAGCTCTCGATCGCCGCCCCCACCATCGCTGCATCTCTCGACTCACGCTACATCTCCGGCCTGAAAGACGAGCGGGTGGCAGCCTCAGCGGTCTTCGCCGCAGCCGGGCTTTCGGTCGGGGCAGCGGCTGTCTCAGGAGTGGATAAAGCCCAGCTTGTGGAAGACGTTCGGAAGGCTCTGTACGCGTCCAAGGTCTGCAGTTATGCGCAGGGGATGAATCTGATCCGCGCGAAGAGCACGGAGCAGGGCTGGGGGTTGAACCTGGGAGAGCTGGCGAGGATCTGGAAGGGCGGGTGTATCATCCGGGCGGTGTTTTTGGATCGCATCAAGCAGGCGTATGACCGGAACCCTGCGCTGGCGAATCTGCTGGTGGATTCGGAGTTTGCCAAGGAGGTGGTGGAGCGGCAGCAGGCGTGGCGGCGTGTGGTCACCCTGGCGATCCAGGCTGGGATTACCGCCCCGGGCATGAGCACCAGGTGAGGGGAGAAATTGGCAGGATGAGGAAGAGAAAGGACAGAGTAAGAGAGTCAGAGGAAGGGAGAGCGTATGGGAAGGAAGGGTGGGTGGGTGTATCATCCGGGCGGTGTTTCTGGATCGGATCAAGCAGGCGTATGATCGGAACCTTGCGCTGGTTCTTTTTGGATGGGGTGGTGGATAGGCAGGAGGATGGTGTTGGGTTGCAGTCGGTCTAACTTACCCACTTCCCCCTTTGCCCTCAATCCCCATACAACTCCCCTCTGCTTGCAGCCTGGCTTACTTCGACAGCTACCGCCGTGCCCGGCTGCCTGCCAACCTGGTGCAAGCGCAGCGAGACTACTTTGGCGCGCACACGTACGAGCGTGTGGACGTTGACGGCAACTACCACACTGAATGGTCCAAGATCGCCAAGGGGAAGATGTAGACGGGCCGAAGAAAGGAAGCGTAACATGTAGAATGGAAATTACTGAGATGTAGGGGAGGAAAAGAGAACTGAATACCGTGAAAGGATGGGCATTGCTGGTTTAGGTGCAGGGCACTAACAAGGGCCTTGCTGTTTTGATACTGTTGCTTGAGCTCTATTGCAGCAGCAGCATATTGCAATTGTTTTGGAGCCTTGGTGGAATTGCTGGTTAGGTGGCCGGCACGGCACTTTACTACCGTACATGTGGTGGCGGCAATGCGCCGCACAGCACTCTTCTGCAAGTTATCCAAGGAACGTTTTGTCGCGCTGAGCATTCCCCCAGGAAGTCTCTGTGTTTCATTGGTTCGAATGGCAATCCCCAATGGTAACAAAGAGTGTAGTAGAAATATTGTGCATGTTGCAGATAGTTTGAGGGAAGATAGAGTAGTACACTTCAAAGTCTGAAAATGAAGACATGGGTGAAGCTAATTAGCTTGGCAAGCTACATGTCCCCTTCATAGCCAGAAAGAGGCAAGCAATGTGTTCGAGATAAACCTAAACAAACTGCGGAATAACCAGGCCGAATCTATGCGTCCTCAGAGTCAACGCTGTGGGTCCCCATGTGGTCACTCCCATTACAAGGACACAGCCATTGGAGGGACCTGTTGTGTCATGTAGCGGCGTGCCGACCCCACTACCAGGCTTCATGCCTTCTTTGCTTTGCTCCGCCGCTGCTACGCCTTCTGAGTGTCTAAGGGTGAATTCCACTGTAGCGGATTCCCCAGGCGGGATAACACCTGAACCAGGTTGCACCTGCAGCCAAATAGGCCAATCGCATCTCAACCCTTCTTCCATTGTAATCATATCTCCACCTGTAGTCACCCCAATCTCATTTCCAGTACCAGATCCTCCCATCCTCTTCTCCCCGTCCTTCCGTCCCTCCACCACCTCCTCCTTCAACCCACCCTCACCCTCGCAGACCACTCTAAACCCCATTGGATGCCCTGTGCTCTTATCACCCTTATTGCTCACCACGACCGAAGCTCTTCCCGAAGCCAGGTCTATTCTCACAAAAGTGCTCGATGGAAGGAGAGAGGAGCGTTGGGATGCTGCCATTTGCCGTAGCAGCGAGCTGAGAGGGGGATATGATTCTTGTGGCGCCTCAAGAGGGGAGGAGAGAGGGGAGGCTAGAGGAGAGGCAAGAGGGGGAGTTTCAAAGGAAGAGACAGCAGGGGAGAGGTTACCTCCAGGAGCTAAAGAGAGGAGGTCAGTGGCAGGGGTGGGGGTGGCGGAGCTAGTGGTGCTAGTGGAGGAGAGAGGGGTGGAGAGGAGTGGAGATGCGAGGAGGCGGGTAACCAGGGATCTCTGAGCAGCAGCGTCAGGGCAGGCAACTGTGACTTGCATAAGGGAAGTGACGGGCTTGTGATCGCTCTGAAAGGCCGCCATGCAGGATGTGTAGCTGGGGGTGGGGTGGTGGGAAAATGTGGGAAGATGGAGAAACAGGGGACAGGACAGCATGAGGGCAGGGGATAATGACTTTCATGAGGGAGATGACGGGTTTTGAGTCGACGCAAAAGATGACGGGACGGGCTTGTGGTCGCTCAGAAAGGCCGCCATGCAGGATGCGTAGCTGGGGGTGGGGTGGGGGACGGGTATGGGAGGGGAGAAAGAGAAGAGAACAGCATCAAGGCAGGCGCTGGGAGCAGCATGAGCATCAGCGAGAAACATAGAGATGGAGAGAGAGCGAGAGTGAGAGTGAGAGTGAGAGTGAGAGCCAGGAGAGAGAGAACGCACCGTAGAACTTCGACTGAAACAGGGTGGGAGAGAGAGGTTCTCCCCTTGGCCACACCAGTGTTGCCACCGCTACCATCCCGTATCGGGCCTGACGAATCGATCCTGCTTGTTTCACCACTCTGGGATGCGCCGCTGCTGCTAGTGAAGCTGTCTCTAAATAGGATGCGGTCGCACCAGGCAGGGACCCTTCGCTTCTCACCGGAATCATACGCTGGGAGGGATGGGGAGGGACGATTGGCATGGGATGGATGAGAAAATGGGAGGGAGCAGAAGAGCAGAGAGATGAGAGGAACAGGCAGGGAGGCAGGCACCCAACCAGGCAGGGACCCTTCGCTTCTCACCGGAAATCATACACTGGGAGGGATGGGGAGGGACGATTGGCATGGGATGGATGGGAATTGGAGGGATTAGAGGGGTCTGAGAAGAAGGGAGGGAAAACACCAGGAGAAACCAGAACAGACACCCACCGAGAGGGTTGAACGTCCCACGGTCGAACTTGTAGGTCGGTGTAAAGTCAACCACCCCCTCCTGCATACCCACAAACTCCCTCCCGGCCTTCATCTCCCCTTTCAACAAGCAGAAAAAACACTCACCCAGGGGGTTGAACGTCCCACGATCAAACTTGTAGGTCGGGGCAAAGTCAACCTTTCCCTCCTGCATGCCCACAAACGCCCTCCCTGCCTTCATCTCCGCCCTCAGCTGATCACACTCCAGCAGCAGCGGGTACTGCCTCCTTGCAATGGCGCTGCATGCCTCGTCGTATGAACACCCGTCGAGGCGGTAGTTCAAGTCGCCCATCCAAATGAGCAGGTCGCTCTGAGTTAGGTCAGGGCGAGGGGAGGAGGGCTGGGGGAGGGGAAAGGGGAGGGGACGGGAGGAAGCGAGAGGGGGGAAGGGGGAAAAGAGGCTTACATCCCTCCATCCCATGATGGCGCTAGTTCACATCGGCTATCCAGATGAGCAGATCGCTCTGAGCCAGGTCAGGGCGAGCAGCGGGGGGCTGCGGGAGGGAGGGGGATGGGCAGGGCAGGGGAGGTGAGCAGCTGGTCATGGGCCTTCAACTCTCCTCTCAGTGAGTCACCCCGTCGAAGCGGTAGTTCAAATCGCCCATCCAGATGAGGAGGTCGCTCTGAGCCAGGTCAGGGCGGGACGAGGGCGGCTGTGGGAGGGAAGGGGGAGGGGAGGAGAGGGTGAGGAGGAAAGCAGTTGGTCTCGGGCCTTCATCTCCCTTTTCAGCTGGCCACACAGCAGAAGCAGCAGCAGCAGCAGCAGCAGCAGCGGGTACTGCCTCCTTGCCATGGCGCTGCATGCCTCGTCGTATGAACACCCGTCGAGGCGGTAATTCAAGTCGCCCATCCAAATGAGCAGGTCGCTCTGAGACAGGTCAGGGCGAGAAGTGGGGGGCTGTGGGTATGGGGAGGGAGGAGGAGAGGGAGGGCAGGGAGGGCAGGGAGAGAAGGGAGGAAAGGAGCTGGTCACGTGCCTTCATCTCTCCTCTCAGCAAGTCACCCCGTCAAGGCGGTAGTTCAAATCGCCCATCCAAATGAGCAGATCGCTCTGAGATAGGTCAGGGCGAGATGCAGGGGTCTGTGGAAGGGGGAAGTGGGGTGGGGCAGGGAGGCAGGTGGTGAGAGGCCTTCATTTGCCCCTTGCAGTCGTATGAACTGAACGTCGAGGCAGTAGTTCAAGTCGCCCATCCAGATGAGCAGATCGCTCTGAGTTAGGTCAGGGCGAGATGCAAGGGTCTGTGGAAGGGGGAAGTGGGGTGGGGCAGGGAGGCAGGTGGTGAGAGGCCTTCATTTGCCCCTTGCAGTCATATGAACTGAACACCCGTCGAGGCGGTAGTTCAAATCGCCCATCCAAATGAGCAGATCGCTCTGAGCTAGGTCCGGGCGAGGCGAGGAGGGCTGTCGAAGGGGGAGGGGGGGGGGAAGGGGAGAGGAGGGGAGGTCAGTAGCTACTGACCTAAGCCAGTCACATGCTTTCAGCTGGTCACACGGCGGCGGCGGCGGCAGCAGCAGCAGCGCGGGTACTGCCTCGTGGTTACAGCGCTGCATACCTTCCATCTACACCACTGCACACTGAAAACGTCTGTATTTTTTTTATTTATTTATTTAAATCAGACTTACAGAGGCAGGTGAAACGAGCACAGCTGCAGCAGTCACCGCAGCAGCAACTGTGGAAGCAACAGCAGCAAGGGCAGTTGCAGGCCACCCAAAGGAAAGGGCGCCAAGGAGAAGCAGAGGCAGGCAGGCGCACACGCAACAACAGCAGCGCGCAGCAGCAGCAGTAGCGGCAGGAGCAGCAGCAGCTGCAGCACGGTCTCCGTAGGGTGATGTCTTCTCCAGGTGTGAGAAACGACAAGAGTGAGAAGAACTGTCAGGTGCAGCAGGCTTGTAATGAGACAGCTTTTCATCTGAACCCCAAGAGGGCTGGGAATGGTTCAATGCGGTCGGAGCTTTCTCTGTGGCATCCAAGGAAAGTCCATGTGCTTTCATAAAGGGAGCTTCTTCGGAGGTCTCTTGCTCCTCTTCTATGACATTCTTTCGCGGCTTAAGTTGCTTATTTTGCTCTCCAGGGACACTGAAAGAAGCCAAGGCAGGAGGCAGCACCTCAGAACATGAAGAATCACAGTTTCTAACGCCAGTCGTGCTGTTAGCAGTGGTGATGCCTTGCATCGGCGCAAAACGCACCTCAGCATACGAATCAACGCTTCCAATGCTGGAGCTGCTGTTGATACCAGCTGCAGCGTTCGGCCAATCAGAGCCCGACACGTCGGTGCCTTGAGTGCTGGAGATGGGGACAAAGCCTGCCGCCCCTGCCGCCCCCCCCACGCCCCTCCCTGCAGCCTTCACAAAACCTTGAACAGCCGATTGGAAGCCAGCTGAAACGACAAGGGGTGGTGGTAGGGGTTTAGGGTTTAGGGTTGGGTGGGGAGAAGACACGGTGCTTGGGGAGATGAAAAAAAAGGCAGATCGACGTTTTTTTTTTATATATATATATTAGAAGTGACTTCTGAGTCAACTCACGAGTCAACTTCAACTTCAAGCTACACACACCCACGCTTTTGGGAAGACTCAAGTCACTTCGTAGACTGATTCAGTTTCGAGATACACCCACCCGCCCACCCTCTTCCCTCCCTTAACCTCAACCCTAACCCTACCTCCAGCGGCTTTAGCTGCACGAGTCGCAGCAGTACCGCCAGTCCCCATGGATCTCCCAAACTCTATGCTCGTGTAAACGCAATGCCATGCCAGTCCCCCTTGCACCCACCCACCCCAACACACCAATCCGTCCGTCCCCCTTTGTACCTCCAGGAGCCTTGGCAGCGTTGCTGGCAGCAGTACCCACAGTCCCCATAGATCGTCCAAACTCCATTCTTGTGTGAATCCGATGCCAATCCCCCCTGCACCCACCTCACCATACACCCTCACTCCTTTCTCCCACCCTCTCCCTTCCCCAGCCTCATCTGACCTCCAGCGGCTTTAGCTGCATTGGTGGCAGCAGTACCCACAGTCCCCATGGAACGTCCAAACTCCATGCTCGTGTAGATGCAATGCCAGTCCTCGTTGCGCTTGGAAGTCATGTTGGCCCCGCCCGCTCCCCCCCAACCCTACCTCCAGCGGCTTTAGCTGCATTGGTGGCAGCAGTGCCCACGGTACCCATAGATCGTCCAAACTCCATGCTCGTGTAAATGCGATGCCAGTCCTCATTGCGCTTAGCTGTCGCGTTGTCGTGTGCTGCCAGGTGGCAGTTGATGATTGCGCAGACGCGCCCGCATATTGTCATGCGCACGCCCACCCCTCCCTGGTCGGTAAGTGTGCAATGATATGGAGTAATATGGGATAAGATGGAATGATATGGAACAATATGGAATAATATGGGATAAGATGGAATGATATGGAACAATATGGAATAATATGGGACAAGATGGAATGATATGGAACAATATGGAATAATATGGGATAAGATGGAATGATATGGAACAATATGGAATAATATGGGATAAGATGGAATGATATGGAACAATATGGAATAATATGGGATAAGATGGAATGATATGGAACAATATGGAATAACTAGGGATGAAGTCTGCGTTGGCGTGCGCCGCCAGGTGGCAGTTGATGATTGCGCAGTGTGCATTAATATGGGGTAACAAGGGATCACATGGGATAAAATTGATATATCGTGCACTGTCGTGCGCTGCCAGGTGGCAGTTGACGATTGCACAGACGCGGCCGCATATTGTCATGCGCAAGAAGACTTAACGCCTCACCTTGTTGCCAAGCGCTCGGCCGAAACCGCACGCCACGGCTCCCGTCTCAACGTCAGATATATCCGGAAGGAGAGACTCTCGCACCCTGAATGAGAGAAAGAAACGGTGGGGTAGGGCAGGATGAGGTAGGAAGGCAGAGAGAAGATTTTTGAGGCGCCTCATAAGTGCCACGGCTCCGGTCTCCACGTTGGATATGTCCGGAAGGAGTGACTCTCGCACCCTGTTGGAGAGAGAAACAGAGGGAGAGTAGGGAGTAACAGAGGGACATTGAGGTAAGGATGGCAGAGTGGGATGACGAGTCGTGTCTCCACTCCACGTCAGATATGTCTGACAGGAGAGACTCACGCACCCCAATTTTTGAGTCGACTCAAAAATAGATATGTCTGACAGGAGAGACTCACGCACCCCGATTTTTGAGTCGACTCAAAAATAGATGTCTGACAGGAGAGACTCACGCACCCCGATTTTTGAGTCGACTCAAAAATAGATATGTCTGAAAGGAGAGACTCATGCACCCCGATTTTTGAGTCGACTCAAAAATAGATATGTCTGACAGGAGAGACTCACGCACCCTGAACGAGAGAAACAGAGAGGAGAGTAGGGAGTAACATATGAAGAGCGACAATGAGGTAGGGATAGTGACATGCGGTGGGAAGGCAGAGAGAAGATATTTGAGGGGCCTCATATAAGTGTCATCCATCTGTCTCAACGTCACATATGTTAGGAAGGAGAGACTCGCGCAACCTGTTGGAGAGAGGAAGGCAAAGAGGTTAGAGGTGAGTGAGAAAATTAGGCTTTAGGATTACGTGAATTCATGTGTGAACTAACAAGCATAGGTCTCAACAAATGACATGAATGGAATTCATATAAAATAAACAAATGAATGACCACCCAAATGCCGCCCGTCTTACCACACAGTCAGCAGCATGCCGGCCAACTGTCGCGACGCGATTCGCACAAAACCATCATCCGCACAGGCAGCAGCAGCAGAGGAGGAAGAGGAGGAGGCAGAGAGAGAGGAAGGGTCAGAGGAAACAGTAAGACCAGAAGAACCACCAGCAGAAGCACCAGCAGAACCAGCAGAAGAACCACCCCCAGCAGCAGAACCAGCAGCACCAAGGGCCTTCCGAATAACCGCAGTCCACTCCTGCGCAGCACCGCTCTCTTTCTCCTGCAAACCCATCCCGACCGATTCCTTCGCTGCAGCAAGGGCAATGGCCCTTGCACCCATCTCAACCTCTTGCAGCCCCACTGCAACCACATCCGCCCCTCTAGCCACCTCCCCCAGCCAAGCCTGGACAGTCTCCCCGTCGGGTTTCTCCTCCCCCACGTTCCATGTTCCAGTTGCCACTTGCAGCTTTCGTCTTTTAGTGAATGCCTGGGAGTGGGCGGCGAGGGCGGCGTGTAGTGCGGATTCCAGGGGCGGCGAGGGGAGGGTGGAGGGCCAAGCTGAAACTTCGCCATTTTTTGCGACGGATAAGACAAACTGGCCCACCGTTGTTGTGGAGGTACTGTAGCTGCTACTGTCAGCGGCGGCACCACTGCCGCTACTACTGCTGCTAATACTGCCACCAGGGATGACAAGTCCTAGAGTGAAAGGTACAAGCTGGCGAATGGTTGGGAGACCAGAGATACCCTGGCTACCACTCATGCGCGTGATACCGCTGCTCCCCTCACTGCTTTCCGCGCTTATTCCTCTACTGGTTCCCCCATAGCTTTCCCCATAGCTGCTGTTCTCAGGACGACCGAAACCATCTGGACCATTTACTGACAGCAATTCTCCTCTGAACCTTTCCTTCTGATCCTGCTCCTGCTGCTGGTACTGCTGAAACTGCTGCTGCTGCTGCTGCTGCTGTTGCTGTTGCTGCTGATACTGCTGAAACTGCTGCTGCTGCTGCTGCTGTTGTTGCTGTTGCTGAAACTGCTGCTGCTGATATTGCTGCAGCTGCAGCTGCTGCTTACGACTCAGCCTTTGCACACCAGGCCACCCACCTAATCTCCTTCCATTCCTCGCCCCAAGCACTACTATCCCCCCATCCACCATCCCCACCCAAAGCCTCAACCCCACAACACAGAGACAGCACACTCCCGCATCCAACCCCACCTCCTGCATTCTCGCCCCGAACCTGTCGATCCGAACCAGCGCGCCGGACCTGAACCCAAACCAGACGGAACCATCACCCACAGCAGTTGCCGCTTGGAGCTTTCTCAACGAGCCCCCTGAGACTCTTACTGCTGGTGCTGGGGATGGAGAGGAAACGGTGGTGGTGCTACCACCGCCACCACTTGTATCCAGATCGTCAATACCACCACTGCCACTTAAGTACTCCTCTCCTCTCCCTGCTGCTGCTGCTGCAGCTCTTACAGCATCAGTCACTGCCCCCTTAGCTTTTCCAAGCACTTCCCGGGACTTAGCTAAGAGTTTCCAAGCACCGTCCATACGCCTGTCTCTAGTATTTTTACCCCCACCGCCAGTGGCAGTGCTAAATGTGCTGCTGCTGCTAATGGTGCTGCTGCTGATGATGCTGACGTCATTGCTGCTTGCTGCTACTGAGTTACCGCGGGGAGGAAAGCTCCTGGGAGGTTCTTCTGATGCGCTCGGGTCTGAGAGGGAGGAGAGAGCTCGAATGAGCTCCTTTTTTCTTGCATCCCTTCAAAAGAGGAGGGGTGTATGGAGGGGTTAAAAAGGGTGCAGAGGGGTAAGAGAACAGTGTTGAGAGATCAGTGTGTGTAGGGAGAAGTAAGATCGACTGAGAGAAGCAGGTGAACAAGGTGATTTGAATTTACAAATTACACTCAGTTTGCAAAAAAAACTCACCTTGCTACAATGGCACAGGGCTGAGCATGCAAGTCGCATTGGGCAAAAGCATCCGATGATGCTGACGAGAAGTACGAGGGTGAATGAAGCTTAGCTTTATTGACACACGTTTCCAAATGACACACAATGAAACCGCACCCCACCCTACCCCACCCATGATGGCCAAAATTGAATGAAGCTTGGCTCACCAGACGCACGTAGACGCAGGGTCAGCCGTCCACACCACACCCAGCCAGTAGCGTTACCATCCAGCGGACACTCAGTGAAGCTGCTCCCCACCCTATGATGCTGGCAAGGCATAAGGGCGTGATTGAATGAAGCTTGGCTCACCAGACGCACGCAGACGCAGGGCCAGCCGTCCACAGTGTGGACTCCACACCACACCCAGCCAGCAGTCGCATCTGCTACCATCACCCTCACAATTCCTCGCGCCATTGGGACGGAAAGCAGCAGCACTACTCTAATCTGCTAACAACTACCCGTATGTTTCCAGGCATAGATGGTCAAGGGGTGGAACGAAGCTTGGCTTACCAGATGCAGGCAGAGGCAGGCCCGGCCGTCCACACCCAACCAGTAGCCGCATCTGCCACCATCACCCTCACAGCTCCTCGTGCGGTTGAAACCATAGGCGGCGGCAAAGGTGGAATGCTCTCAGGTACAGGTGGTAGTGCCCTGGGTGAATGGTTGAATGGTTGAATGAGTGAAGGGGTGGGATAAAGCTTGGCTTACCAGATGCAAGCAGAGGCAGGCCCAGCCGTCCACACCCAACCAGTAGCCGCATCTGCCACCATCACCCTCACAGCTCCTCGTGCGGTTGAAACAACAGACAGCGGTGGTAAAGCTTGCATGCTCTCAGATACAGGTGATAGTGCCCTGGGTGGTGTACCAGCGTTATTGCCAGCACCACCACCAGCACCACCAGCACCACCAGCAGCACCAGCAGCACCAGCACCAGCACCAGCACCAGCACCAGCACCAGCACCAGCACCACCAGCAGCACCAGCAGCGGCACCGGCAGCAGCATTGCCAGTAGCAGGATCAGCAGCAGTGCGATTGTCATAGCTGGTACTACTTCCACTGTATCCTCTCGGATTGCTGGATTCCGCCACGTCGTTCCGAGCCTGCTCGCCCACTGCCGAGCCTGACGAGCCTCGGTGCTGCCGAAGCTCCACGCAGGCAGGGCTGATGCGGACCGCCACAGCCGCACCTGTCACGTCAGCATTCTGCTGCTGCTGCTGCTGCTGCAGATCAGATGCTATTGGCCTATACCTCCCCCCATCCCTCCCCTCCTCTACGCCCTCCTCTAGTTGGTGCATGGCTCGATGAACCTCGGTGGTGAGGGAGAGGCGGGTCCATGCCTTGATGATTCCACGATCACCAGCTGACCACAGCTCGCCTGTCCATGCCATAGGGAAAGGGAGGGGGAGGAGGGGTGGGTAGCATGAAGCAGGAATAGGCATGACTTGAGAACCTCAAAATATGCCAGAATCACAGACGACCACAGCTCGTCCAATAGAGCCCCATACAGGAGACATGACGTTGCGTGGCAGCAGCAGCTTTTAGCAAACAGTTGCTAAAAGCTGCTGCTGCCACGCAAAGTCATGGCTCCTGTAAGGGGCTCTATTGAACCTCAGAATGAGCCATACTCACAGACAACCACAGCTCGCCTGCCATGTGGGTGGGAAGAAAAGGGGCGTAATGAGGCAGGTGCGGACGGGACGGGCATGTGCCAGAGAATTTTGAGTCACGACATGATCACCAGACGAATAGGTGACTTTTGAGTCGACTCAAAAGTCACCTCGTTACTATGGCACACAACACATTTTGAGTCACAACATGATCACCAGAAGAATAGGGACAACTCGCCTGCCAAGGCGAAAGGTGCGTGGGTAAGGACAGGACAGGAAAGAGGATCATGCAACTCCCGAGAGAGAGCATCCATGCCATGCCATTGCCAACCTGCCTGGAACGCAGCATGCCAATACCACCGCGGTCTGAGTGTGCACGCACAATAGAGTAATGACTAGAGTAGTCACAGTGGCTGTATGGGCCTGCCAGTCCGCCACCAGAGCCACCTGCACTCCAGGATCACACAACCTGATTCCCAACCCCCTCTTGACTCCCTTCGCTCCTGCACCTGCCGTGCTACTAACTTATGAATACATATGCAGCACCTTAGGAAGGGGATGGATACTAACCATAGGGAGTGGCGACGAGAGCAGTCACAGTGGCTGTATGGGCCTGCCAGTCCGCCACCAGAGCCACCTGCACTCCAGGATCACACAACCTGATTCCCAACCCCCTCTTGACTCCCTTCGCTCCTGCACCTGCCGTGCTACTAACTTATGAATACATATGCAGCACCTTAGGAAGGGGATGGATACTAACCATAGGGAGTGGCGACGAGAGCAGTCACAGTGGCTGTATGGGCCTGCCAGTCCGCCACCAGAGCCACCTGCACTCCAGGATCACACAACCTGATTCCCAACCCCCTCTTGACTCCCTTCGCTCCTGCACCTGCCGTGCTACTAACTCTTGAATACAAATGCAGCACCTTAGGGAGGGGATGGATACTAACCATAGGGAGTGACGACAAGAGCAGTCACAGTGGCTGTATGGGCCTGCCAGTCCGCCACCAGAGCCACCTGCACTCCAGGATCACACAACCTGATTCCCAACCCCCTCTTGACTCCCTTCGCTCCTGCACCTGCCGTGCTACTAACTTATGAATACATATGCAGCACCTTAGGAAGGGGATGGATACTAACCATAGGGAGTGGCGACGAGAGCAGTCACAGTGGCTGTATGGGCCTGCCAGTCCGCCACCAGTGCCACCTGCACTCCAGGATCACACAACCTGATTCCCAACCCCCTCTTGACTCCCTTCGCTCCTGCACCTGCCGTGCTACTAACTCTTGAATACATATGCAGCACCTTAGGGAGGGGATGGATACTAACCATAGGGAGTGACGACCAGAGCAGTCACAGTGGCTGTATGGGCCTGCCAGTCCGCCACCAGTGCCACCTGCACTCGAGGATCACGCAACCCGATTCCCAACCCCCTTTTGAACTCCTTTGCTTCTCCAGCTGCCTTCACTCCTGCACCTCTTCCTGTGTCTTCTCCTGTGCCTCCTGTGCCTCCCTTTGTTCCCTTTGCTCCCCATCCTGTTAGTAGCACCCTCCATACTAGCACGCGCCCGTCCTTGTGCCCTGTGAACACCACGCCGAGCCTGTCGTCCGAGGCTATGCTCTTGGCTCGGGCTGCCAGGCCTCTGAAAGGCACAAAGAGAAACGGGGCTGCGTCAGAAACCAGGCGGGAAGGGGGCTTTGATTGCCTCTTCAATTGTGAACATTCAGTCGTATCCTTTGGTACTGCTGCGCCTTCTGAATCAGCTGCAGCTGCCACTGCTGTGCCAAACCCCCCTGCAGCTCCTGCTCCTGTTGCTCCTGCTTTGGCAGCTCCTGCTGCTCCTACTGCTCCTGCTGCTCCTACTTTCGCTTTTCCCTCTGCTGCTTCAGGCAGCATGGCCTGCCGCATGTCCCATGCCCTCAGGCCGTCATCAGTCACACACACCGCCACACTCCCCACTGCCACAAGCAGACAACCCTTGCCACCCGCATCTGGCCCAGTCAAATTCGCTTCAGCTGCTGCTGCTGCTGCTGCTTCCGCAGCTTCCGCTGCTGCTGCTGCTGCTGGTGATGGCGATGGCAAGGAGGACGACGACGATTGTGGCAGTAGCGACGACGTGGACGACACGGGTGATAAGTCAGAAGATGCGGAAAGAGACGCAGATACTGATGACGATTGCGGAACAGCCAAAAACGAGGATAAAGGCGGGGAGGAGGACAATAAGGACGAGGATGAGGATTGAGAGGAGGAGTAAGGCAAGGGAGGAGTGGTAAAACCGGAGGCAAAACCGGAGGTCCCAGGAGCAGACATTGCAGCAGACGGAGATGCCTTTCCGCCCTCCCTCCCCCTTCCTTCTCCTGGCCGAACCTCCGCCCGAGCCTCTCCCTTAGGCTTGGGGCACACCACGAGCGGAACCGGCCGGTTTGGGTCAACAGGCATTCGCGTGGGCGCATCAAAGATGGTTCTGGGAAGCTTCCCTGCAGGGCCGTAGTACTCTACAGGGGGAAGAGAGGAGATATACTCTGACGATGATGATGTCAGCACAGGGCTGCTGGTGACGTCATCACCACCAGCCTTGCTGGTGTCAGTGACATTGATTTTGTCTTGGCCCCTCAGCTCATTTCTTCCCACCCCTCCCTTTGCCTCTCCCTTTGCCTCCCTCTTCTCCCCCCTCTTCTCCTGCCATTTCCCCTCCTGCTGAGATTCCTGCAACGGGGTTGAGTCATAAGCAGTCTGGAAAGCGGGAAAGAGAGGCTCTGCAGCAGCAGCAGAAACACCAGGAGTAGCAGCTGCAGCAGGTGCCTCAGTAGCCGAAGCAGGAGCAGCAGCAGCAGAAGCATGGACCACAACTGCAGGCAGACCAAGATCCGAAAAGTCCCCAAACCCATCAAAACCACCAGCCTCACCAGCACTGCCACCAGCAACACCAGCACCGGCACCACCAGTAGTAGCACCAGCAACGTCAATAGAACCAGAATATTCTTCCCTGGATGCGACAGGGGAAGCTGAGAAACGTTCGAGGAAGGTCAAGTCATGAGCCGTCCCTTCTGCAGCAGAGGCACCACTCGCTTGGGTGCTGGCTACAGGGCCTTTGGCTGCTGCACCGACAGCAGTAGCAGCACCTGCAGTTGCAGCACCCACAGCACCAGCAGTAGCAGCGGAAGCAGCAGCAGCGGAAGAGCCTGTGGGTTCAACCAGAGGGTCTCCCAGAAGGTCCACCAGAGGAGGTGGCGCAGAGTTAGTCCTTCCAGAGTGGAGGAAGGTACTGTTTGGAGTTATATTAAAGGGGTCGTGTGACAATAACGAGGGGTGTTGTGACGAGGCTGAGGGAGGCTGTGACGATATCGAGGTCCAGAACGGGTCTGATGCAAGGTCAGGGTCTGGAGGCAAGTTGGGAGCATCAAAGCCGAATAATAGTGACGAGGATGCCACAAACGGCGATGAATCAAATCCAAAAACGTCGTCCTTCTGCTTCTGGAATTGCTGTTGGGACTGCTGGTTTTGCTCGAAATGGCTGGTACTTGTGTCTTCTGAAGGAGAGCTACTGGTAACCCCAAGAGGAATGTTGTCTAGAAATGCGAACGGATCTGCAGTGGCTTCTGTCCCGTCTCTCTTTGTCCCTGCTCCTGCTGCTGTTGCTGCTGGTGCTGCTGCTTCTGCTGCTGCTGTTGCTGCTGCTGAGGCAGCAATAGGAACCTTTGCTGCTGACGTGGAAACTGGGCCACCTGCTGCTGACATGGAAGGATGTGCCGTTGCTGATCCTCCTGTTTGTCCGGCTACAGCAGTTCCCATCGCTCCCCCAACGCCAGAAGCCCCGTGCACCGCTCGAAGAAAACCCATGGCTAGCTGTGCCGCTGCCAAAGGATCAATTTGTGACTGTAAGTGAGGCTCGGTTCCACCAATGAATGCGCCTGTACCGAGTCCGCCAGTTGTGCTAGGTGACAATGCATGAGCTCGTATTCCGTCGGAAAAACTTGTTGAACTAGAATCGGAAGAACCAAAGGCGTCTGCAGCAGCAAAAGGCGATGTGCTTGTAGCGAAAGTGCTGGTTGTGCTTCTGCTCGCAGCAGAGGCTGTGGATGTGACTGAAGAGGAGGCTGAAGCGGATGAGCTCAGTCCGGTCCAGGAATCAAGCCAATCTTCAGGGATTGCCGAGGAACGCGAAGAATCTGCAGTGCTGCTGCTCGTGGTACTTCTCGTGTCCGTGACCCTGGTACTAGAGCTGGTGCCGATGTGCTTCTTAACGGGTACAAGAGTCTCGGGTGGCAACGAGAGCGGGTTGACGGGTACTCGCGAGCCTGCAGGCTTCTTCCCGCCTCCAGCAACGAACGGCTGAGCGTCTTCGCCGGTGGCAAACGGATTATCATCAAAGCCGTCCATTTCTGTGACCCTGTGACAGATTACAGGCGTTTTAGGTCAACGCGACCAGAACGGGTTCAGTGTCGGGTCAGTGCTGCGAGTGCAGAGCCATACTGTCGCGCAATTGTATAGTCATCCTGTGACATTCTAGACCAAGGTAGCTATGTTGAAACTAAGTACGTAGCTCCACATTCTTCTGTAGTTCAGTTTGGCACACTAGAATGCTGCTGGGTCTGCCACCATAGGCAGAATCACCGGCCGTAATGACAGTAGTTTTCGTTACAACCGGCTCCGACTTCATGTCAGAACCATTTTTCGTATGTCAATGATTGTTCAAAACAAAAACAAATACCCAATCAACAACAGAAAACAAATAGCTGACATCCTAATATCAGCAATTTATGGAATATATACAATGCGTGAAGCCCTTCGTCTTGTAATGAAGCACCGCACCGACTGATCCATAACATTCATGAAACATTGGGAGTTCCGACGTGGATTTTGTACCACGTGGCTCTGACTGGTTCGTGGTCGTCATTACCTTTTGCTTCGTTGCGGAACACAATCCCACACCACGGGGATGGGGTGTTTGCGCGCCCCCCTGAGAGAGGGTCTTCTGGCTCCGCTCCGCTCCAGTCCACAGACCGCGCCAAGCTTGTGGCTCGCTTCGCTGGTGATTGCGCAACGCGTCCACAGTGTAATGTGCGCACATTACAGTACACTGGCGGCGGAACCAAGAGACCCAGCTGCGGGAACTGTCTGCTCTGCAGCACGAACTCTCTACGGAACTCCATGTCCACAAACTCTCGTCAAGGACCTTGATCAAGCTGCTGGACATTAGGCTTTTGGAGCAAGCGACATAAGTGCGGCATCCTTCATTTTCGGGAGATTTTCCTCAACTTGAACGTCTCAGCTGTTCTGTTTCCCTGAATATACAGGATGTCGTCCAGCACTGCCATCTCCCACGTCTCTGCGACCCTCGCCTCGCTGAGACTAGCTTCGACAAACGCACGTGTCCAGTCGTTCAGGCAATCTTCTTTCGGTACGCAGTCTTCCAGCTCCTTGCACACTCCAAATGCTTACCTTCCTCAAGTGCCGCTCCGCGTGCAGGGAATTCGGGAAGCGGTTTTGGATGTGAGAGAGGGGATGGTATTGGTCATAGTTAGATCACGTTGGTTCACAAGGTTCTATATTTGTTTTTGTATCCTTCCTTCTCTTTCCATATCTGCAGTGCGTTCGGCCGCGCTGAAGCAGCGCCTGGGCGCCAACGTTGCCGCTGGATCGAGAGTCTCCGCGTGGTTCAAATTCGGGAAGAACGGCCTCGATGCGGAGTCGTCGGGTATCTACGGCAGTCAAGGACGGGACGATTTCGACAGAGACGACGTTGAACACGTAAGCGTGCCCTTTGTCTCCATTTTTTTCATAACAAATAAGGCTCGTGATTTGAAAGTGGAATGAAGAATCTTTGCTACAGTTTAGTCAGTCATCTGTCCTTCCAAGCAAAAAAATTCTGACTGCAAGGCAATAAGCTGGAGTGAGAGAGAACACTTTATGGGAGAATTAGGACCTCTGAAGAGTGGACACGATTAGGGAGGAAATGTCTGAGGTAGAATTGTGGGTAAGCGTGGCCATGGACCCAAGGGTGTAGAGAGTGAGGGGAAAGTGAAGCTTCAGGTTAGCTGATTGACGCGACAAATTTACGTCTCATAGTCTCTCAGGCAGTGCCAAACTCCATGCTCCTGTAATCTGAGTTCTGTCATTCGTCTCCTCATGCATTTGTGTTTCCATGGCAGTACTACAACTACATGGGTATGCTGGCAGTGGAGGGCACGTACGATAAGATGGAGAAGCTCCTGAACACAGGCATTCACCCTGTGGACCTTCTCCTCATGATGGCCGCTTCTGAGGGTGATAGGCCAAAGATCCAAGAGTTGCTTCGTGCTGGTGCAAACGGCAATGTGAAGGATATGGACGGCAGGACTGCACTTGACAGGGCAGCTGATGACGAGATAAGGCAGCTTATCGCCGATGGCGCCGAGCAATTGGCCTAAAGAAAACCCTTTTTCCTTCCCACATTCTGTTTGATCCAGCAATATGAAAATGCTCTAATTGGTCTCAATAATGAAGCCTGATGAGTTGGCAAAACTAGACCTGATTATTTAGTAAGTGGTTCAATCAGGGGTTCCGAGTGTGGGGCTGGTTTTGTTCTGAGTTGGAATTTACTTTGTTTGTTTAGCTACAGTAAGCTAACCTTTCAATTCCACTAGTGTGGTTTCCCTGTGTCGTCATTGTGCTAGGTCTACGAAAGACCAAACCTCGTCGCCCTGTCTCGGTAACCTTGTGCAGGGAGTGGTTGCCGTCGATTCGGTCACGTTTTCCCCAAACGGAGAAGATCGTGTTTCAGCCGCCACACGAAAATCGGTGTGGTTTGTGGGTGGGGTTGCTGGGCAAATGAAGTGGTTGGGTTCGTTGAGATTGTGGGTGGGGAGCGTGAGGTTCCTTGTTGCCCCCATTGTTCCCCCCCCCACCCTCCACCCGTCACATCACACCCCGCGCGCGTAGGCGGATATTTCCCCCCCAGTCCTCACCCCTGCGCAAACAGTTGGTTGAGTTGAGAGGTGAGTGTGAGTGCGCCAGATGCTGCTTGGATGGGGGTGGGGGCCTTCATTCCCACCCCCACATTTCGCTCTCGGAGTTCCGCGTACCTTACGCGCCATGTCCACACTCCCCTCATCCCTATCAATCCGGTCATTCCAAACTTGCGCCTACTGTACCCAACCCACCGCCCCCTACCCTGTCAACCTTCCACCGAGTCCATTTGATGCTCTATCTACATTTCTGTAACTCAGCTAGATTGAGCGTGTCTAGCTGGGAGCTGGCTGTTGTCTGGCTGTGGTTGTTCATCTGTTGGTGATTGCCGGCGAGGTTGCCGGCGAGTTGTCAAATTTCTTCCTCTTCCGGTCTCGTTGAAGCAAAGGTTACTAATTTTTTTTCACTGGGGTTCAGTAAAGCTAGACAAACTGGCGAGCCAAAGCAGTAGCAGTAAGATGGCCACAAAGGTGGAACCCCCGGTGGGGACTTGTCCACCGGGGAAGCACCAGTTCATGCTGTGGCGAACGCTGTTTGAGATAGACGCCAAGTACACTCCGATCAAGCCCATTGGAAAGGGAGCTTATGGCGTCGTGTGCTCAGCGAGAAACGCGGATACAGGGGAGAAAGTGGCTATTAAGAAAATCAGCAATGCATTTGAGAATGCGACTGATGCTCGTCGCACTCTCCGTGAGATTAGGCTCCTTCGGCATCTGTACCATGAGAACATCATTGCAGTGAAGGACATTATGCCTCCTCCGGACAGGTTCACTTTCAATGACGTGTACGTCGTGTATGAGCTCATGGATACAGACCTTCACCAGATTATCCGGTCATCCCAGGCTCTGACAGACGACCACTGCCAATACTTTATCTATCAGGTATTTGTTTGATTTTTAGCATCTGATCTAATTGAAGTTCAATGTCGCTTGCTTATCATTGATTTCTGTCATGCTGTCTGCTTTTATGCATGTCATTTGCAATTTGAGTTTCGAACTTAATGATTTGGCGACATAAGCAGCAAGAAGCTCCTGAATTACAAATCTATTTTTGCATGTGAAATGTTGATTTGGCGACAAAGAAGCTCCCATTTTACAACTCCCATATTATTATTTTTGTTTCCCAGCTTCTTCGTGGACTCAAGTATGTCCATACGGCCAATGTGCTGCATCGAGATCTCAAGCCCAGCAACCTCCTCCTCAATGCCAGTTGTGACCTCAAGATCTGCGATTTCGGTCTCGCGCGCACGGGAAGCGAGAAGGGTTTCATGACAGAGTATGTCGTGACTCGGTGGTACCGTGCTCCCGAGCTGCTGCTTTCCTGCGACGAGTACACCTTCGCCATTGACATGTGGTCTGTTGGTTGCATCTTCGCGGAGCTTCTGGGACGGAAGCCGCTTTTCCCTGGAAAGGATTACATCCATCAGCTGAAGCTGATCATCAACCTGATTGGTTCGCCTGACGAGGACGACCTTCATTTCATCTCCAGCCAAAAAGCTCGCAGCTACATCCGTTCGTTGCCGTACACTCCCAGAGTCTCGCTCTCTCGCCTCTACCCCAGGGCCAACCCCCTGGCCATCAACCTGATTGAGCGGATGCTCGTGTTTGACCCGAACAAGCGTATCACTGTGGAAGAGGCTTTGGAGCATCCGTACCTGTCCATGCTTCATGATCCTGCTGTGGAGCCGTCTGCTCCGGCGCCGTTTGAGTTCGACTTTGAGGATGAGGATCTGAAGGAGGCGGCGTTGCGTGAAAAGGTATGGCAAGAGATGCTGTACTACCATCCCGAGGTGGTCAGCAACAGCTAGATGAAGTCGCGGAACCAGGAATAAACACTTGAAGGTAATTTGGGAAAGGAGAGGGGGAAGCAAGAACGGGGATTGAGAGATTTGGGGGGATGGGGTGCGTCGAAGGGTGAAGAGACTGGAGTGTTTGGGTGCAAAGTCAGTTGCATTGCTGGCTTAGTGCACTGCTCAGTTCGAGAGCCAGATATGGGGCATATCCTCGTGGTTCTGGGAGGATGGGCTGGAATGTTTGGTGGCAATGTTGGGTTGAATGAGTGGAGGAAGTCTGGTAGTCCAAGTCTTGTCCTATTGGCTTGGAGAAACTGTGTAGAGTTTGGAGTTGGGAGTTTAGAACCACCTTATAGCAGGAAGTCATGGACACGGTTTAATTCTGGTTGGAGGGAAGTGCAGGGCTCAGTTGGATCAGGTTGTGTGTCCTGGTTTGTGGGGGTTCTCTTGCATCTTCTTTCCCAATGGCAGTGGCAGTGTCCCTCATCATCTCCTTTTTTACCAAAGGACGACTGTTCTTAGCAACAGGATTAGCATCATGGTTCATTCATGCGCATTATTAACTGCCATTTGTTTATCCCTATCGCAACTTTAGAATGCAAATGGATGACTCAAATGTGTGATCTTCATACCTGCAAATGGATGTGTCCTAATATTTGTAAAGCACATGAACAGACTGTTCCCTTCTCACATGAGCAATTTTGGCTGGAAGCATTGCTAGCAACAACATGGTTCTCAGTGGCACAGTGTTTTCCCCGCAACATGGAGCAATTCTGGCTGAATAGTTTCGTTACACAATGTCCTTTTTTGTTTTGTAATTGTATTATACACCGAAAAGGCAAGTGTACAAAACAAGAACAGTCGTAACTGCGCTTGGAGGCTAGGTGGTAACCCGCCTCAGTGTAGCTGCCCGGGCCTGATGCCGCCCCTTCTCTGTCGTGTCCAGACGGCTGCAAACCCCGCCTTCCACGTCCACTTCTTTGCGTTACTGTCTCTGATTCGATCCAGAAGCCTCATCTCCTGGCTGGGCCCTCCTCCACGTGTCCCCTTCCGCCCTGTTGCGCTGTCCTTCTGCAGTTTTTCACCCGCATGTTTCATGAAGACCCATGGATGCAGCCGAAAAGCTGCCTCAATCCTCCACAGAACTCGTCCGTCTCAACCGAAATTTCTGATCCCGAAAAGTCGCTTCACATCTCTCAACCCACAGCTGATGGATGGTGATCGCCGTAAGCGTTGCTTCCGGAAAAGCTGAGCTGGACGCCGCTCGCCCGAAAAGAAGGCCGCCCAGCGATGAGATAGTGCGCCCGGGATTGAGCATCCTGAGAGCCGTTTTCAAAGCCCCCACCACTGGCTGAATCCTCGGGCACCCGAAAAGACAGTGCTCGAGTGACCCCTCCTCGTTACAGTACGGACATTTCGGCTTCGAGCTGAGAAAAGCCAGCCTTTCCCCAACTTGAAGATTGAAATTATGCACCCTGGTCAAAACATGAATAATTTTGAAACATATTTCTAAATTTAGTGATTGTGACAAGATTCAAAAAAGGGGAATGCAATAAGGAGGCATTCCCATCTTATCCTTCGGCAGGTCCGCAGACCTGCCACCTAGTCTCATTTCACTCATCTCAATTTGAGTTGGCACATTCTTCCTCCTATGGTTAGATCTGGATCTCATCTACCCTCAACCCTCCTACAAGACGTTTTTGCTGCTCGACTTAACAATATGGCGAGCGGATTCGTTTCTGCTGTCAACGGACGGTCTCCTCAGGCCTCACGTTTTCAGAGTAAATTACTCTGTTTCTCTGAAAATCAGAGTCATTTTTGAAAGTAACTCTGTACCCGCTGGGTAATTTTTTTGGGACTTCCGATTTCTCTGATTTGTCAGAGTTATGCTGTAGTTTACTCTGAGGCCTCTGGGTTTTTTTTTCGGGGACCAAATTTACTCTGTATAGGGAATACCTGCCGGCCCCCCCTCCCCCGCCCCCCTCCCCTCCCCACCTCCCCCTGCGTTTAGCGGGTTTTCCCCGAATCGTCGAGATCATTCTCCTGATTTCTGTCGTGTGTTGGCGGCAATATGAGCACTGATTGGCTACCGTAGTTTGACAACTTTCCCAACCAGCGCACGATGCCAGCCAGTCCCCTCTCTCTTTATGTCTGAAGCGAACGTCGACGTTTCCCGACGAAACTTTGAGGGACGTCGAGGAATCCTGACGGTCGGAACGCTCAATCCGAAGGTTGAGATTCGCCAGCATTCCCCGACGAAACTGTACATCCGTCGACATTTCACTTCAGACACGCTCTTTGGGGATGTCCGAAGTGAAACGTCGACATCCGTGGACATCCGTTTGGGGATGTCGGTAAATCCTGACGGTTGGAACTGTCGATCCGAGGGATCACATTTACCGACATCCAGCGACATCTATTGACGTTTCACTTCGGACACGCCCTTAGTCAGATTATCGGTGCCGCCAACACCTCACTCTGAAACATCGCAGTGAGGGGGGAAATGTGGGCGACGCGGAAATGCAAGTACAAAAGGCGTAACAAAAACCTATTAAGGTCATGGTACACCAAACTTAACTAACATCAGAGTAGAGAAAAATATTACTCTGACGTGCCTGGGTTTTTTTTTGAAAGTATAGGGTTACTTTGACAAATCAGAGTAAGGCGCAGGAACAACCCTAGATTTCAGAGTTGGGAAAAAAACTACTCTGGAAATCAGAGTACCTAAAATCCAAAAATAGGCCCTGGGCCTCCTCCTACTCGCATTAATACAAGGAGCTCGTCTAGGCGTGGATTGCCTCGGAGGGATGATGACAGGAAGGGAGAGGTCTCGTTCGCCACGAAATGAACATCGCGCGGCAATTACGGCTCTTGATTTAATTGGAGCCGCAGCTCGCGGAACCAACCGGAACGACAACGACGATCGTGCTCCAATCGCCTCGACTGGCGCTCGTAACAGTCGCCCTGACGAACGCAATCAGGAGGAATCTCGATCGAGACCCCGCCCTGCCGGCGCGACTGTTGCAGGAGGAACAGCAAATCGCCAGGGGCGTAATGATGACGCCCCTGGACCTCGCGTCAACCACGACGGGCCTCCCGGATTCGGAAATCCGGCTGCCAACACTGTAGCCGCGGCAGTTTCGGCCCCTTAGGCCCCTCGGGCCCCTCAGGCCCCTCGGGCCCCTCAGGCCCCTCAGACGCGCGCGTCAGGCCAGGAAAGGCACGCGCCTGAGGGGCAGGGAGATCGCGCGCCACCGTCAGCAGCGCGCGTGGCGAATCTTTCGCCTGGAAGAAACTCGAGGCCCCCGTCGCAGCAGAATCCGGACGAAATCGGGACCGCGCACGCAGCTGCTCGTCCAGATTACGCCGCGATTTTAGAGAATCTCGACACTACTGCACAGGCGAATCTGCTCCAGATTCTGGCGCAACTTTCTGCAGCCCCTGTAACACGCCTTATGGAGCGTCCCGCTTCTCCAACTCCAGCGAACACTCGGGCTACACCTTCTCGGAGCGATCGTATGGAGCATCGAAACGTCAACAACCCGGTACACAACGTCGACGCACTTCACCAAATGACCGAGCTTTTGGCGACGCTCCAGCGCAACCACGCCAACGGGAGGCCGGCTCGTCCTGAGAACCTTCGCCCAGCAACACGCAATGTCGAGGCTCCCGAGGCGGCCGTGGACGAGGAGGAAGGCGACCGTGGCATTTTCGAGGAGATTAACGAAGGTAACGGCCCTCGCTCTCTTCCGCATGCTCCCCCCACGCACTCGTCATCGGCACTCGTTCCTATCCCTCCAGCTCGTCCTCAGTTGCGATCGGCTCTTGTTAAGAGCGACGGCGTTCGCACTCAAATGTTTGGTTTTGAAAGGATTCAAATTATTGCTCGCCATGCGTTGAGTGTTTTACCTTCCGAGGGGAGCGAACAAGCGGCTCTCTATTTAAAAGAGATTGAACAAGAGGCCGAAGAAAAGATTATGTTCTTGTTCACCGCTGACCAGCGCGGTTTTGACGTGGCCAATGTGGCCCTGAAGATTAAATATGGAGAGGTGGTGGAGGATAAGACTGTTAAATCCGCCGCTCAAATTGTGGCGGCGATGAAAAAGAGTCGCCCCGATCGTACCACCTCCTACCCCCAGCGGTACAACCAGAACAACCGTGGTAGGGGCAACGGCGAACGCTCTTGGAACAAGTGGCGTCGCGACGGGGATGGGCGTTGCTTCATTTGCAGTGAACCGGGACATGGCTTTGCCCAGTGCCCCAAGCGCGAACAAGGAGCGAACCAGCTCGCGCGCATTGTTTGATTGACCACTTTGCATACTTTAATGCGTGAATGCTTTGCAAATTATGGCACTGCTTGTGGACATGGAAATGTTTAATGGTTGAAGTTTATAAAGAAAAAAAAAAAAAAAAAAAACAAGGAAGAAGAAGAAGAAAGTGGGAGAAGCGGGGAGGGCCTCGCCATGCTATATCCCCTTTGCCCAAAGGGACGTGCTTACGGTACATATTGTCAAATTATATATATGCTTGTTTAGGTTATCTAGGTTGTATGGGGGTTAGCACTAGGGGGTACACAAACTTTCTCGATACCCTAGTCTTGTACCCTAGCCTTCACCTAATCCACTCATCCTTGCCTTAGGTTCTTAACATGGTAACTAGAGCAGGAGGTCTCTAGGACCTACGAATCGGGCCCACCTAACTGCCTGCCTTGCCTACTGCTCGCGCGCGCCTCGGCTGCAGCGCACGTCACTTATTTTTCCCGCGCTCGCCTCGGTTTCTAGCGCGCGCGTCTCTGTTTTTCAGCGCACGCCACTGCTGCAGAGCCGCGCGCCGGTCCGCGTCGCCCACGCAGCCCACGTAGAGCCCGCGCGCCCCTTACGCCGCCCGCGCGCAGCCTGCTTAGGCCCGTCGCCGCACGCAAACCGCAGCCGCGCGCGCTGCCCGTCGCCACGTGCAGCCAGGAGCCGCGCGCAGCACGTAGCCACGCGCAGCAGAGAGCCACGCGCGGCCCTTAG